AGTGGACAGCATATCTGGTGCAACGCACCAGCCGATCGCGCGATCCTTGGCTGAATAACTTCAGCACTTTTAAACAGCGCGCTCCGGACACAACTAGTGCGGTTATTTTGGTGCCCAAGTGTGCCCACCTAGAAAAGGAATTTCAAACACGCGGTTGGACCTTACTCAAAGAGTTTACAAAAAACTCCAATATCTTCTCCGAACCTAAACCCGGAGGTGGTCGCACCAGGTCCCCAAACTGCAGCGGCGAGTTTCAAGCATGGCTCGACCCCTGCCAGGAAAAGTCCAAGTGTTCTGCACTAGAACCTCTGACTGAAAACACCGCGCCACTACTACCGTGCAACTTTACTAGCACAAAAGCTGTCGCCTTAGTCGACTCAGGTGCTTCGCACGTTTTCATATCCGCCACACTTGTGCAAAAACGGGGTTTACAGCCCCTCACTAGCCACGTAGCTACTTGCATGCTAGGAGACGGCGCAAATAGCGCCCGCCTCCAAGGTCAGGTGCATACGTCGCTCCGTATCCACGGATTCCGCTGCAAAATCGTAGCGCAAGTTATCCCCAATTATCCACCTCACTCAAGGCGCCCCGAGGACGGGTTCGCATTCAAGAGGGGGGGAATGTAACGCCGCTAAGGCGGCCCTTGGCTCACCGGGCCAACGGTATCGTACCAACGGTACATCCAAGAACTATTCATAATCTTCCAATACCAAACGGTATTTATCAATACCACCTTTTATCGTTGGATAATTTCCTTTTTCGCAACTGCTTGCCAACTGCAAGCTTTGTTACAAGGCAAGTCACTTCAAGGACAGATCATTGGAAGCTGCAATTACGGGCCTCTATTTAGTCCATCCAAACATGAGGATGATTCCGACATAGTGACGCGCCACCTACCATCAAGCGCGGCGGGATAAGGCCATTCGGGTGAGACTTTTAACACTCTTAAAAGTTCGTCATGGCTCATACAGAGCACGCTGAGCGCTTGCTCCAGCGACGTGAATTCCAGAGCGATGCCAGGAATTAAGCTTTGCACCGGCTTGAGGATTGTCGCTGACGCATTCATGGCCCACGGCCATAAGCCAAAGATAAGCTAACGACACGCCTGGTTGTCTAATCCTCAACTCATGGCTCATACACCTCTATGGCACCTGCTCAGTACCTACAACGTTTTGTTGCTGGAATCAACAAGAATTACAAGGTCATAACAATTAAGCTGCATGGGTGTGCAATGCCTGATGTATTGCGTTAGGATCCAAAAAGCTCCCGCTGCGTATATGCCCAACGGCCTAAAGTAGCTTTGTGACAGTTGTCCGTTTCCTGGCCGGCTGACCTGTTGTGTACTTGTACGTCCAGAAGCACACTGTTGCAGACAGAACGTATCGGTGGATTTTACACTCTTTGTAATGATCCGCACGCAAGCTGCTTCAAGACGCACATTGGCATGGGATGCCGTTGCGCGGATTGGCGTTTCATGTTTACCTGTAGCACCAGAGGATAGCAGCACTCTGCATCCGAAGGACCAGTTGTAAGTATCGGGTTAGAGTTAGCAAAAGTGCCCATTCAATCGCAGATCAAAAGCTCAGTGCTGACAGTTCGAAGTGGACGGTAGGGCAGCGACCCTCGGGACTTGCAATGGCCTCGCAAGGAGAAGTGACGCCTTTAGTTGTCGCTACCACTATTCAGCGCAACAGCACCTGTTGTCTGGATTCATCAAATCTTGGCGTTCCGCGTCTGTGCCGTCCATAATGTCGGAATCCATGAAATTTGGGATAGGCTGACTATATCTTCTGCTATGAATTCTTGTGTCTGTTTGCTTTAATGTTAAGCACATCAATGTGCACGTTACTTTGGCTTCGTTGAGAAGCCGTTGTCGCAATGCATCGGCGCATTGCTAACTCACGACACATTGTCGATCTGCTTTGCTAAATCTTGCCATGAGAGAATATGAAAAAGAATATCCTCCTGACAGTTAGGGCTTGTTGATAGTTTGCGTAATATCGGCAGATGACCGTCTTAACTGACATGACGGAGACCGGGCATCCAGCCAAGAGGCGCTTCTGGAGTGTGTTGACACTAGTGGCCTACATCTTCTGCATAGGTATGATAACCAATAGTATGAATGAACGTCGTTCTCAACTTACTGCGGCCCAGCCAAGTGCTTCCATCCGGCTGCTCAGCCCCGATGCCCAAACCACGCAAGTCCCAAACCACCAAGTCCCCTTTTCCCCTCCCGTCCACCTGACCTCGCCCTTCCAACACAGCGCTTCCTGTATGGTACAATTCTGTACGGATACCCCGTGTGGCTTTGCCTCGTGACGAGATTGAAGCGCTGGCAGCTGCCGTGTCGGAGCCCCTGGCCGCGGCCCTTTCGTCCACCATCACCGTTTACGTCGTCTGCCCGGGTGCGCCACCTGAACCCCTCCTTGACGTCCCCTCATTCATTCCCCGTCCCTCAAGTCAAACCCCTATCACCCGAAAATAAGTTACATATGCCTTCAAACCTCGTCCATAGTTCCGCCCTATTTGCCAGTGTCTCGGTGGTCCCGCTCCCCAGCGAGGTGTCCCCCCGCCCCATTGCGTGCCACTACTACCTGCTCAATAATCAAATCCCTCTGCCCTTCCAACCCTTTGGGCCTCTCGCACTCCCTGCTTCCTCCACATCGGATGATCCCTTCCTGGCTGCCTGCTGCCTGGCTGCCTGAATGTGGTTGATCCCTTCCTATGGTCCTTATGCCCCAGGCCCGGGCTACTCCTGTTTGGAGTACCGGCAGTTGTCGGACTTCGCCCAGCAGCTCGGCCTGGCGGTGCTGGAGCAGGCGGGAATGCGGGGAGAGCAGGTGAGGGCTGAACGGGGCGAGGGGCGGGGGGATGAGGAGCCGTGTTCCGTACATCGCCTCCCCCTTGCCCGCACGGATAACGAGCCGCCACCTCCCCCTCCACATCGCCGTCGGGGGACCCCAACGCCCCAAGCCCAGGCGCCGCTGGTCGTGCGTGTACTACATGACGCTCCGGACAGCTGTAGCGCCTCCTCCTGGGTGGCTCCAGGGGAGGCTGCACGCCGGGTCGCCGCCGCCGCCAAGGGGCCGCTCGGTGGCGGCCCTGCGAGCGCCGTTAGCGGCGGTGGCGGCGGCACGGATGGCGGCAGCGGCTGCTTAGACTTGGTGACGTCTCCCGACCTGCACCGTATCGTGATGGGCGGCCAGGACCGGGACTTTGACGACTGGGCCGCGGGGCAGCTGGCTGGGCAGGATAGGTGCGCGACAAGGGAGCTGCAACTCCGAAGGGTCCCGTAGGAAGGGGGGTGGGGGAGGGGGGAAATACGAGGCCACGAGTGAGGCCGGTCCAGTGTTTCGCCGCACACGTCTGCCGTATGATCGTACATTAGAGCCACAAGACATAAATGGCCGCCTGCCCGCGGCTCCCCTAACCGGTTGCTGCAAACCCAAATCGTGTTCACCTTGGAACCTCCTTTGTTTGCGGCTCCTGTGTATTGTCGTACAGGCCCGGCAACTACCACCTGTTTGTGGTGCCTGACCCGTGGCTGGGTCCCTCGGAGCTGCCGTACGGATCCGTGGGGCGCCGCCGTGTGGCGTTTGTGCGTCACCCGCCGGCGTTGGGACCGACCCATGGGTCCGTGATTCGCCTAGCGGCTCTCCTGGCGGCACCCGCCTTCGCCTCGCAACTGGGTGCGTCTACGTGCTGGTGTCTACCCCGTCCTGGTGTAGCTGTTCCTTTCCTTCTTTCCTTCTGACGTTCGCTCCGGTTCAGTGTGACTCTGCAACCCTAACTTTTCCCTTGATCCTCTGTTTCGTTCTTTCCAGCTTTTCAGTTTTCTTTTTGTTTCCGTTAGGACGCAACTCCTTTCCTTCCCCGCACGCCGCACTCTGCCTCCGTGTTCCTCACCTCCCCTGCCCCGCCCTGCCGCTCTGAAGGGGCCCCGTTGCCGGCCGGCACCCCCTCCTCCCCCACCCCCGAGATCCCCGACACCGACACGAACCCCGACTCCGAGACCTCCCGTCAGCCCCTCCCCATCAGCGCCACCGCACAGCTGCACCTGTCCTTCAGCCTTTGTAACGCACAACCCTCCCCAAACCATCACGACGGCGGGGATCGCGGCGCCTCCATCGCCCCCGCTGCTGCTGCGGCATTCACTTGGAGCTTTCCCCAGTTCGAGGCCCAGTTTGTTGCTCCTCTGAAGCGCGTGCTGTCACCTGCTGCGCGATTGACCGCGTCCAGCCAGGTGGGGTGTCGGGGCGCGTGTCCCTCATGAAGGCGGGGATGAGTCAAGGGGGGTAACTTGGTTGGTAAGGCAGGCAGCCAGGAAGGCTGGCTGGCAGGTAGGCAGGCGGCAAGGCAGGATGTGACTGGGTTGTCAGGATGTGGCTAGCGGCCCCGGATGACAGGGTGCGTGTATAGCCGCCGCCGCCTTGTGTGCCGCGCATTGCCGTACATCTGGTGTTGTCACTTGCCGTACATCTGTTACTATGTACGGAGTCAGCTAGGGAAAGCGCTTGCTGACCTGCTTGCAACCGTCGGGTGCCTCTTGCTAGGTCCTGTACTTCACGCCTGCGCGCGTCAACGGCAACTGGGACGAGCACCGGGGTGCGTTCGTATTGCCGTACGCCCAGCTGCCGTTCTTCGTGGATAGCTCCTGGCCGCTGGATCCGGGTCGTACCGGCCTGCCCACGTCCGCTGCGGGGGACGGCGGAGTGCCGTACGACGTCGCGGCTGTTACCGTCGGTTCGCGCCGCGTCACCGTCGGGGAAGCGATGACGATGCCGCAAGCCGGCGCGCCGGGGGCCGCCACAGGGGCAGCTGCGGCGGCGGCCGCAATGCCGCACCTGTTACCGCCACCGGCGGCGGCGGCGTTGCCGCCGGCAGTGCTGCACTTTGTGCTGTACGCTCCGCCGCCGCATCAGCGGCCGCTGGTTTTCCTAGGCCCTGATGGATCACCGGCACCCGCCAACTCCTTTCGGGTGCCGGGTTGGGGCATGCTGCAGGTGAGCAGCAATCGTACGACAGTACGGTAGTACGACAGGTGGGATTTCATATAATGGCGCTCCGGTAAGTGCACTCTGAATTGATGATCACTTTTAGCGCCCAGCGTTTGTGTCTCCGTGCCGTACTGTCCCATATCCTTCTGTTCTCGTTTTGACGGAGGGCTTCCCCCTCCGCCGCGTCTGCTTTGGATTTGGGCAATTTTTTTAATGTCCGTCTTTTCTCTTTCGCACAATCAATTAGGAAATGCCCTCCTCTGCCCCATCCCGCTATGCCCCCGGTTGTCTGCCTGCGTCAGGTGCTAAACCAGGTTCCGGAGCCGGACCTCATTTCGGCGCAAGTGGGCGCGGAGGCCATGGAGGTGTGCGGGTGTGGGTGTGTTTAGGATTGCGCGTTTGTGCCGGTGGGGGTTAGGGGGGAAGGGGGTTACCACCGGTCTCCTACCCGAGGGGGCTATCTGGAAACCCTAGGCAGCCGCATTCCCAACAACCGCCAACTCTTATTGCTACGTGCAGTTGATGACTCTGTATATGTATGTCTGCATGTACTTCTACATTTGTCTGTTTGTGCTTCCTCACTTCTTTTACTCGATCCAATCCCCACCCTCCTCCTCTGCTCCTCACCCTTCGAATGCCTTCCTAGGCCTTTGCCGTCGAGCTTGTCTCCCAGCTAAGGGCTCTGTTGGGACTGGGCCCCGCTCGCCGCCGCCTGCTGCGCCTCGTACAAGCTTCTGCCAACACCAGCGCTGCCGCCGGTGCCGCCGGTGCGAGCGCCGTCGGCCGCGTGACGGTACTCTCAGCGCTGCGAACAGGCCTGGCGCCGTGGGAGGTAGATGCGCTTGTACGGCGGCGTGTACGGGAAGACGCCGCCGGCGCTGCCGCCACGTTGGCGGCCCTGGCACGACTGCTCCGGCAGGTGCCGACGCTGGCGGTTCCGGCCCATGTGGGTGCCCATGTACGGCAGGCGGTGGCGGCGCTGTGGCGGACCCTGCGGCTGGCGGCGCAGGGGCGATACGAGGAGGCGTCCCGGTGCGCATGAGGGGAGGAAGAGGGGGGAAAGGGGGGAGGGAAGAGAAGGGAGGAGCAGCAGCATTGGAGGGGAAAGTGTGTGGGTGTGTGGGTGTGGGTGTATGTGGTTGCGGACCGGTTGAGGGGTGCTTTGCGAGGTGTGGGTCGCCTGTGGGGATGATGGCTTTACAGAACTGGATAAAACTTAGAAATGTGGGTTGACCCCTCGTCCTATCACACCATCTCTCTAGGGTTTAAAACCCTACAACCTCCCATTCCCTGCCAGTAGGTCTGCTCAGGAGACTCGAAGCTATTCCGAGGCCGCCTTCTCCGACCCCGCCTTGTCCTCCCGGCTCAACGTGCCCGACACGCACCTGGTGGGGGTGTACCTGCCCTTCTGTCTTCCGGCAGTGGTGCCGCTGCTGCAGGTAGGTGGCTCGTGCGGAAGGATGCGGGCGGGAGGGCAGGGGCTCAGGGGGGGAGAGACGGAGGGGGGTGGAGCAGGGGGTGACAGGTTGGTGAGGGAATGAGGAAGTGGGGCTGTGAGGGGAAAGGATGTGTGCAGCGTTGGGTATGGGTGCGTACGGGATGGGTCTGGGGTGCGGGTCCGGGTCCGGGTCCGGGTGCTGGTGCTGGTGCTACTTCAAAGTACCTTCCGCTTTTCCCTCTCTTTCGGTCGCGCTTCTCTCCATAACCCCGCCCGGTCCGCTTCCTCTCCGGTCATGGCGACCGTAGGCATTGCTGCAAGAATTTCGGCAGCAGCGGAGGAGGAGGAAGGAGGGAGAGAATGTTAGGAGGAGGAGCTGCACAGGAAGACCTGAGGCGGCGACGGCTGCAGAGGCGGGTCCGACCCAGGGCTCTGGGGGCAAGGCACCGCCGCGACAGGAAGCGGCTGCGGCGGGGGATACTGCGACGGTCGCCGCCGAGGTTGAGAACAAAGCCAAGGATGGATCTGGGGATGAGGGTGAGGGGATTGCAGTGGGAGATGGAGATGGAGATAGGGAGGGTGAGGAAGGTGGGCAGGAGTGAGGGGGGAAGATGGAAGGAGAAGAAGTGGCGACATGAAGGTGGTGATAGCGGCGGACCAGGCTGGTTCGCTGGACAAGCGAGCGTATGTGTGTAGTTGGACGTCTGAAGACTTTTTATGTGCAGATGGTGTGCAGCGCTGCGGCTGTCGCAGCGTAGCGATAGCATGCCGTCCTGAAATGAGCTTTCTAGCTGGCTTGAGGTGGCTGGATCCTGGTGAATGATTGGTTTGACCTGATCCTGGCTTGTTTGTGTTGTGCCTGTATGGTTTGACCTTGCACACCTCACACATGGCTGGACGGACCTTCCTGTAGTTTGCGGTGGAAGATATTGTAAAAGCCCCATCTTTTGCACGCGTCCTGAAGGCGTGGTGCGTGCTCCCCATAAAAGTGACCCTTGCTGTTGCCAATCCCTTGGACGAGACGGACTTTCCCCGTGGTGAAGGCCGTGGCGTCTGGTGACGTGGGTTGAAATGGAAGGGGGGGCCGGGCTCTTGGAGGGGTATGAGCCGACTCTTTTGAGCACGGCCGGCTAAATGGGCCCAGAGCAAAATGGCCCAACAGGCCACTGGTGGGAAATGCGGTGACAAGGAAATGGGCAGGCATCAGGTAAGTGATGCCGACGGCAGGGTACTTGATTCTGGCAAGGTAGCGCAAGGCATGCTTTGTCTGAGGGAGGACAGGTTGGGACATTTCCACATGGGCATGTGCACTGTCCAACGGACATTGGGCCTACCAGGGTCCGTGGGACAAGCTTGGGCACACATAGTTTTCATATCTAAATCTAATAGTGGGGGCTTTGGGTGGAGCATTACGGCGGGATCTAATTGCGTGACAAGCACAACTGCCAGCGACAAGGAGTTGAGGTATAGCTCGAGTAATTACACACAAATATTAACGCTCTAAAATTATGATAAAGGATATATGAAGCATAAAGGTTTAGCTGTAAACATGGTATGGAACTACAGATCAGTATCTGAAGGATCAGGAATTCGGTATAAAGGGCCCCCAAATCCCTTTTTTCAGTTATTGAAGGAAGCGCCTTTTACACAGCTTCCCAGACTCTCGACCTTGTTACACACATATCCTAGCCATACAATTAGGACGAATTAGGAGGTTCGGAACGATGTCGGCCACAATGCTACGCCGTGACTCCGCGTTGCTCCAGCGGTGTGCTGCATCAACGTTCCCACGGCGGATCACTCCTGTGGTTTGTTCTCCTGTCGCTTTTAAGTGCAGCTACATGCGAACCGCTCGTGTCTCAGGGGGAAGCACCCTTCGGCCAGCTCGGAGGACTGTCCGTGTCATGGCGTATGCAACCGACGTGCCAGAGGAGGCTTACGCTTGTGTGGTAAGCATCGACTTTGGTTGGATCTCCTTCAGATGCAAATTATCCAAGCTCCTTGCTCGGATGGCGCCGGAAGGTGTTTGCACCAGTTGCCTAAGCACCCGCTATCATGCACAGGGTCTGGCACAATGTTTTAGGAAAACTGGCGGCGGCCTCGAGCCCGTGCTTGTCATCGAACCGCTCTCGGCGTCTTCGCTGGAGTGCCTCGCAAACGGTCAGTACGCAAGCTTTGAGGATGCTCAAAAACTGCACGGCTTGGCTTGAGGCAGGAAACATGCAAGGAAGATTCAGACGTATGTGTGTTGATTCTTGCAGGTGCCCGCACGTCTTACAAAATGGTTACGGGAGTTAGTTTCGGCGACGCCATGAATCGGAACAGGGACGTGCTACCCGACGCCTTCAGGTACCGTTTCTTGCCTATCGGCAATCCCCCCTTTGCAGTACAATCATAGACCACGGTTTACACGTGTATTGCTTTAGCACTCTGCCCCTTCGAAACCTATGCCACAGGGATGCCCCCTTCTGCGAGAACTACGAGTTTCGCTGCGAGGCGGCAGCGCGAACCTGGCAACGTCCCCACGCGCAGGACAATTTGATGTGGGTATCGCATGGTTTGCGGGTTACAAGCACTAACTTTTGATGTAAGGATCTCGTCCCATGCAGTAGCTTCCCTCCTTGGGCTGCAGTACATATCCCTCATCGTTTCCTTCCTATTCTTTCGAACTTGGTTAACGACCCGCTGGTCGCCGGTGGGTATTGCAGGGACATTGTGCCGCTTGGAAAGGCCCGCAGCAACTTCAATTTCAGCTTGGAGGACAAGCGGATCCTGGTAAGGGTTTAGCTCTATGGATCGCTCGCTACCGTGTGCCGAGCCGTGTTGGGTGCATGAGCTTAACTTCTTCGGCGCATCAGCTTCACTGAATGTGGCTGTGGCAGAGGGAATTTTGGAGCCAAGAGCGCTGCGCATACCTTGGATTCAACATCGCAGAAGAGGGTTGCAGCATTGGGATTCCTTGTTTTCTTTGACGCCGTGCCTTGAAGCTGTGCTCACCACCGAGAGCTGCCGTGTCTCATGCTCCGGAGAAACGGCAGGAGATGCCAGATGGTCGATACACGCCGCATGGGGGTCGTTGATGCGAGCTGCAATCCTGCTTTACTTGCACTGCTAGTCCTTGAGCGACTGTGTCTTTGGCTATTGTTGGCTACCGCTGCCCTCAGAACATGGACAACGTAGTGAACGATTCTGACAACATCAAGCAGGATATGTCCATCGACGTGTACGGCCGCAAGAAAGCCGATGACCTCAAGGCCAAACAGGTGCGCCTCGTTTATGCGACAGTCGCTTACCGAGTACTGGCAGGGCCGGGACAGCACCCTTACTGCTTCCGGCACGTATGCTGTGGACCAGCGAATTCCTTGGCAGCATCTACCACCCGCGTTGCAGTAGCTTGGGTCCAGCACCCAGAATTGATGCATGAGAGCAGAGGGTGGCTGGGATCACACGCATATCGAATAACCGCGTGTCGCTTACGTGCCGGTGTGTGCGGCGTCGGTTGACGTGAGCTTGCCGAACACATTGGCATTTCCTCCTAACACATCAGCATCTCCCTTTTCTACGCGCCTCGTCACTCCCGCATGCCGTAGGCGACTGAGGCCGCTGCCGCCAAGGCTGCTGAGGAGGCCAAAGCCACCAAGAAGCAGAAAGAGGAGGATGACCTGGACGCTTTGCTGCTGGCGTAATGTGGCCTCTGCGGTGGCCTCGACATCCAGTCCAGAGGCCCGCCACGGGGTCTGAACCCGGAAGTTCAGGAAGCTGGTTGAGAGATAACTAGAGACGTGCGGATCGGTGGTCGCCATGCCACAGTCCTGGAAATGAAGCGCTCTGACATAAATATTGACAAATCGAGGATTGGAGCAGCGGGGCTTTCCTGATGGCATTGCAGGGGAAGAGCCTTCTGGTACTAATCAGTCCGTTTAGTAACACTTCTTTTGGGCGGCCTTCGTGGATACGCGCATAGCTTTGCTTTGTTCTGTGTTTGTGCGTCCGCATGTGCGTAGCAGGAAGCACCCTGCGTTCTTGAGTACGTGGCGCGGGATGGGTTTATTGAGATTCGGAGGCACAGTCCCAGATGGCCAACGGTTATAAGCCATGGCGCTGATGGCGACATTAAGTCAGGACACTGGACTTCGGATCGTTTTGTCATCGAATGTCCGAGTGAGGCCAGCGACGTGGCCTGCGAGTAAGGGAATTCAAGGAAATGTGTCGTCAAGCAGCCGCTATTAGGCTGCTTTTTGTGCATCGTTGACAGCTTCACAGGCTGCCCAACGGAATCCAACTACCTGGACCCAACCTGGGCTCTCAGCCATACACTTGCCGTTCATGCGCTGCCGTCTTTCGAGGGATTACGCGTGTTTATGGCCTGGCAAGTTTAGGCGTTATTGTTTTTGCCATTTGGCAATGCGAGCCTTTGGCAAAGAGATTCAAGGTGCCGACATTCGCCGCTCAATGCAACGATCGTTGGATATGCCCTTGGCATGGCGATGGCGATCTCATGTGTGTTTCTGCGAGGCAGTGCAATTGTTTAGAATGGCCATAATTTCCATTTTTTGGGGGGGCTTTGAGTACGATGCTCAAATCGGTCCACTCCTGCCCACTCCTCGAAAAGTCGAGTGCTTCGTACTTTCTCTGCATGCGCAATGACTGTCGACTGGCCAGGTGTGTGAATTCGCCGAGAACTTTACAGAATATCACTTACGCTACGTCGATTTCCTACCCGCGAGAACACCCCTCAACTTCCGCTGTAAGCAGAACAGTGTGCAACCGGTGCTTGGACAAGCGATCCAACAAGGACCATTCTGGGATCTGTCCAAAAATAACCGCGCGCAGATCCCGACAGTCAGGCCGTACCACACCCAGTTCACACTTAAGTCCGCCAACTAGTTCCCGTGTGATACAATACACACAACGCGAAGAGCAAGGCCACCCCGTAAATATAACCGTTGCCCTGCTTGCCAAGGCTACAGACACATGCCCACATCCTAATCGCCTGCACACATCTCCATCCGCTCACTGAAAAGTTGAATTCAACTTTTCAAGCGAAGCAGCGCGCTTCGGTGCCATACTAGCCAGCTGCGCAATTGCATACACCGATCATGCTCTCAAGCTGCCGAGCTCGTAATGGCCCGTATCCCAGCCATCGCCAGTTCGCCAGGACGGACGCAGGCCGACTACCCAGCCAGCCGTTGCTGCCGAGCCATCGCTTCCACCACCGTCAGGCCTCCTATGGCTTCTAGAGACCAACAGCCTGCCAGTTCATCACTCTCCCTTCTTCCAGGTAATTGGGAAATAGTCCGTCTCCTTGACGTACATGAGGTAGGGGTCCTTCGGATTGCGCCACACCGACACCGCCGCCGGGTCCGGCACCGCCGTCATGTCGCCCGGCGCCGATGCCGCCGCCAGCTCATCGGGAGTGGGGATGTGCGTAGGAAAGGGCAGGCCCCACGTAGCGCGCACACGCGGGGTTGTGAGGCGTGAGTCTCGCAGGTAGACAGAGCGACCCTTGGGTCCAGGCACCTGGCCCCGGATGTACACCAGGTTACGAGCTGCATCTACCTGAGCGACAGACAAACAGACAGACGGGCCGCACCACACAACCGGCAATCAGCAGAGGAGCAAGAGGAGGGCGGAAGAAAACAGGGGATCAAACAGGGGACCCGGTACAACCGCGAAGACATGCATCTCGTCACAGCAACGTAGGAGGGTTTGGGCTTAGGCGGGTCTGACGCGGCGACGGGGGTTTGGCTGCAGCAGGTTTAGTACGGTTTAGTACTGGTTTAGTCCTAGTACGGACAGGACCCGGCAGCCAAGGACGGCCTGCGACGCTGGGCAGAATTCCATCCGCAGCACAGAAAAGCGCCCAGGTCCGGATCCGTGAGCATACGTGTATTCCAAGCAGCTAAGTAACCGCCGCACCCTCCCCATCCTCTGCCATCCTGCTAGGGCTCTCGCCGCCATTGACATATTTTCTCCCCTTGTGATCCCACCCTACTCGTCGCAAGGGCTCCTGCTCCTGGCAGTCGCCTGGCCCCCTGGCCTCGATAAAACCATCCCCGCTCAGCTCAGGCCCCGCCGTCCCTTAATCTACCTTGTAAACCAGGCAATGGTGCACCGTCCGCCGCTCATCACCCATGCAGCCCGGCAGCTTCTTGCCCTTCCACACCTTGCCGGGGTCCTGCCGGTTGCCGATGGCGCCTGGCGCGCGGTGCGACAGAGACACACCATGTGAGGCAGGCTGCCCCTTAAAGCCCCAGCGCTTCATCACGCCCTGCGGAGCAACGCCGAGATGCCCTGGCAGGTAAGATTATTACACATAAGTGGGCGCCGCGCGGTGCCAATGAATCCTGCCCAGCCATTTCCTCCGTTACCCTCCCCATAATGTCCACGCCGGGGCCAACCTCCACACCAACCTGCCTACCTGGAAGCCCTTGTACTTGGTCCAGCCGGTCACATCCACGCGCTGCCCCGCGACGAAGTGGGCTGCCGTGATGTGGGTCCCCATCGGCAGGAGCGCGTCCTCGCTCACAGGCCACTCCGCAACCAACTTCTTAAACGGCAGACCCACCTGCAGCCCGCGCCACGTCCCACACCATCCCGAACCTCACCTTTAGGGAGGAAGATTGCTGGATGGCAGGTATTCATAGGGGCTTCCGCACACGGGTCGTGGGCGGATTGGATCTCGTAGCGTACATAATATGACGTGGCGGACACACAACGAAATGCAGCCGTGCAGGCGGCTGTTGCTGCTGGCTTCGTTTTAATAAAGGTCTACATCTCCTTCTCCAAAGGATAGTAAAAGATTATTCCGGTCCAGGTCCCCCACTTAGGGGCGTGCGGCGGTGCTGTGTGTGTGGCGGACCTAGTAGGACCCTGTCCGCCTCCATCGTCCTCCTTGAATGACTGAAGCAGTCCGGACGTCCTACCCCCGCGAGGTCCTTGCCACAGGGGAAGATCCCACTCAGCCACTGACCATAGGCATCAAGGAATACATACCTTCAGGAAGAAGCCCGCCTGTGAGGGTGACATGCACTTTTGGCGCTTGTGGCCCGCCCCCAGCATGAGCGCCGTGCGGCCATGCACCTCATGGGTCTTGACCCCGACCACCTGGAAGGGTCCGGGGGAACAAAAACGCGCGCGCGGTCTTACCGTGCCGGTGGATGGTTGCAGGGTGGACGGTAGGAAGGCAGGATGGCAGGCTCCTCGCTTTCCGCCTTTGAGACTGGATGCCCCCAAATACGGCAAAAGTGTTGGCATAAAGCAAATCCCCACCTGGCACTCATCGATCCATAGCACCGTCAGCGGTACCCGAACGCCGTGCTCGTCCCACTCCTGCGTCATGCCCGCCTTCGTCGCAATGCACCCGACGCGTAAGGAGGTGTCGGCCATCTGTCGCTTTTCCAATGTCGGCGGCGGCGGAGGGGGAGGCGCGCTTAGGCGCTGCTCTAGAATCTTGTCCCGCACCAGCTGTGCAATGGGTTTCGGAAGCTGAAAGCGGCGCTTTGGAGTGGCGAATCCATAAAACCTAAGCTGCTGAAGCTGAGAGCTTTGACCTGAGCTAGCTGACCACCTGCTCCATTCTGAGCAGGGGGTACCGTGCGATGTGCTGGCGTGAAGATGGCTCCCTGCCCGGCTGCCGTCAACAGAAACCACAGATTGCTCGCCACTAAATGCGGGAGAATTTGGTGATGAGATGCGATCGCTGCAGCAAGCTGACGTGCTGCTTAATCCGGCCTTTAGCACTTTGCCGGCAATCAAACTCTCGCAACTCTGGCCCTGCTGGGCGGCCGCCGCGAGGGCACCACGCACCAGCCTACCTAGCATCACTTAATAGGGATTTCGTCTTGATTATCGAGTTTAATGGTCTATGGAAGCAAGCCGTCGCGCGGCAAGGTTAGCAAAAAAGCATTGAATTAATCATTCAATAAATCATCCAAAAAATCTTGTCTCAAAATTTTGCTGATTAGACCTCGAAAGCCAAACACATGGAGCAGCGTGTTACGGCAGTCCGTCGCCGTGCGATACCAGGTCCGCGCAGCTACGTGCTTACTATGTATCCTAAGCCTCCTATCCTAATGCTTCATGGCTTGATATAAAATTTACATGCAACTACATTTGCATTCCGCTGCTATTTGTCTTGCGAGAGTAAGCAGGGATGGATTTGAATCCGGTCCCATCGTCAAATCACAAAAATGCAAGGCTTTTTTAACACCTGGAACCGGCACGTACAACGCTCCTGCTGGCCCCACCGCACAAGCTAAACGACGCTATCATCCAACAGCCTCAGCCGTCCCGCCGGAGGTCGCATCTGCCGAGCCAGGGAGAGGACCTGGCGATGGTTCTGCCGGTGGTGGCGGTGGTGCTGGTGGCCCACACGGGGGCGACGGTGGACACCATGAACCCCCTCCGCCCAAGTACCCGACATGGCTAAGGGTGCGCAGCACACAGAAAAGCCAACACCCCCTGCCGCCCTCCCCGCCTGAACCCATCAGCTAACCTCTCCCCAATACATACAAACGCGATACCCTGACCCACCCAGGTCTGGTTGACCGCCTGCGGCGCCGTGTATTGGCTGCTGCTGCGGCCGCGCCTGTTTGAGGAACGCGAGGAGCGGCGGCGGCATCTGGAGCGGGAGGCTGCCGAGTTTCAGCGTTACGAGGACGACTGGGACACGTGCGTATCTGAGCACCGGCTGGTGACACTCGCTAGCCCCAGCAGGCAACAGCCGGCTTGGCTGCTGGGAAATGTAGCTTATGCCGTCCAAAACGTTCGATTAGTACGCCGTCTGGATTAGTATGCCGTTCAAATTGTGCGGTGGTACTATGTTCATGCGCGGAGCTGCGCCGCCTAAGCTCGTCATCAGGGGGATGTGGCGATGGTGCTGCGTGCGATATGGACGCACCGGACCCAGCACCGGGGCGCCTGGGAGCCCTTCCCTGCAATCTTGCGCCCATGCCCCAACACCTCTCCCCTCCCAACCAACACATTCTGCCCGCAGACTGGTGGCAAGGTACTCGACCTCTACCACCACCACCACCACCAGCACCTCCACCACCACCACCACCGGCACCACTGCCAGGGGGGGTACGCACTAGGCGACCCGGCCGTGCTGCTCGCCACGGCGGTGGTGGCAACAGTACAGCAGCAGCAAAAGCAGCTCCAGTAGTGGCGGTGGTAGGGTAACGGCTGCCCAGCCAACTGGGATGACGCAGAGGGGCAGCGTCTCTCCACTGGCCGCGGCCGTGCATGGCAGGACATGATGCCATGAGCACCTACCCCTACCACTATACTCGGTATCATTCGTCGGCTGCTAGCCGGCTGCTGCCCTTCCCCCGGAAAGCTGAGCTGAGAGAAATGTGGGTTCCGAGGCCGATTTCATTTGCTTCAACCGCCAACCAGCCAACCAACCAGCCAGGACACAATGCACCGGTCTGGTGCCATTTCCGCCATATCGCCGTCATCGCGGCCGGGACCTCAGTCGGAAGGTCTACAGGTGGCAGGTGAGGTGAGGCTTTCCTTGCGCTTGTGCGGCAGAGGAGCGGGGCATGGGTCACGCTTTTGTGGTTGGGGGGTGACGGGGGGTGCTTCACACCGCAAGAAGCAGCACACAGGATGCAGCACCTGCCAGGCGAGGTCGAGCGGCTACCCTAGCTGTCCAGGGGAAAGGGGACCCGCGCCCCCTGAGCTGGACCAGGGGGGATGGCCTCTCCCTCTCCCCCTCATCCATCCCAGTCTACCACTCACGTCCAACCCATGTTTTGCAACTGACATTGCTGTGCTGTACTGCTGTACTTTGTTGTACTGCTGTGCTGTGTTGTTTATGCTTGGTGCAACCCCTATTGCATTGCAGGTTGCGTGAATGAGATTTGCCTCCAGGGGCCCTACCCCGCAGGAGGAGGTGCCGGCCGAGTGTCTTTTTCACGAAACTAAGGATTAAGGAACACGGAGCGGGGCGGGCGAGGTTGCGTAGGGGGTTGTCCGGGGGAGTTACCGGGCTAGAGTCTGTGCAGGGGAGATCCGGGAGGGGGTCGAGTGGTGGAGTCCATCTCCTGGGCACGTGGGGGAGGCCCCGGGAAGGTCCGGGCACAGGCCCCATGGCATAAAAACGTCGGTTACTGACCGTCTTGAACACTGCCGGGCACTAGGGCCGCCCGCTGTGGTAAGGGTCGGATCGAGCTCGGTAGGGGTTGTAATTTGGCGAAGGCATAGAAAGGCCTCATGAGGCCTTTTGAGGCAGCTCAGTAGCCTCGCAAATAGGACAAAAGGATGGGCTGAGCGCGGCTGGGGGTGTGTTGGGGGCCGCGGTGTAGGAGAGGGGTTGTGCTGTTTGATGTCGCATCGCGGGAGCGCTCTGAGGCGAGAGTGCTTTGGAGAGGTGGTAGCTGTGGTGTTCTTGGGAGGAACCCGGTTAGGGGGTGGCAGAGCGAGCTGCTGGGACGTTTCGAGGTTAGCTAGGGGTGATAGCGTGAAGGGCTCCTGTCTGGGCTTTCCTGGCATTAATGCAAGCTTTCTTGTTCGGGGTTCGTTCCATGAGTGTCCATAGTCGACTTGTTCTGAACGCCACGGAATCCGGTTTTCCGTGGGTTTCGGTGGAACGAAAGGCCTGGCCCTAAAACTTATAGGACGAGACAAATGAAATATGGTAATTACGCTTGACATCGTGACCTTTTGTAACTCAGGGTAGGAAGGATTGTGATGGCCTCCAGGCGTAATCATGTGCGATGAATGTTCGACGTCCCTCAAGGTATCACGCCTCTCAGGATATTTATGAGTATTATATCAACAGCGATGTGCGCGTCGCATTATAAAAGGAGAACATACTTCTTTATATAGTGCACCGTCAGCAATTTATATGATCCAGCTCATGCGTGCGCACCCTAAGGTGCATTGCTAGATATGATGATTGGTTATGAAACATAAAGGAACATGGCGTGTGTTGCGGGACGGCTCAGGGCCGCACGATGCGCCGCTATCGCGGCGGAGGCACCATCAGCATCCGAAGCGTGCAGCCTATTTCAACACGCAAGCGGCGAATCCTTTTCAGCTTGGTTCAATCTGCCATGGATAACCACGCGCTCGATCATCACTTCCAGCGCACATCATGACTCGCCTTCTGTCGCCGCCGTTGATAACAGGCGGCCAGATAACAGTTTCAGGCGGAAACAACAATCAAGCGATCGCAAGGACGCTGCCGCACAGCGTCCTGGCCCTGGACCCTCTCAGCAGCCGCGCGGTCCTCCCCGGGCCCCTGAGCAACGTCCCCGTCCCGGCGGAAACCCCCGCGAACCAGACACACGACCTCCTCGTGGAAATGCCGGCCGATCAACTCGCTGGGACCGCGGCCCCGTTGGTTCTGGTGCCGCAGGCGCTGCTTCAGCAGCAGGTCCTTCCCGTGGCACAGCCTCCCCGCCATCCTCGCCCGCGTCGCTGCAAACGCAACCCCAGCAACCCCAGCCAGAGCGTTGGGACCTCTTGTCCCAGAACGCACCGCAGCGCGTGTTGCAGCTCATAGGTGATCCTCGCAGCGGCATCGCAGACGACACCATCACCAACCCCTTTGGCGAGGTCACAGTAGATATGGTGCACTACCAGCCCAGCAACGAGGTTTACTGGTTCAAATATGAGTTTGCGGGAGCCCAGATGCACGGCTCGCACAGAGACGCGCGCCTGTCGGACTACACGCGCAACCTGATGTACATTATGCGCGCCAAGGACCCCAAGCGGTGCGGCCGGCTGGCACGACGGAGTGCCAAAAAATGGGTTCGGCAGATTTTGAAATCTCGGATGTTTTCTTCTTCTCGGAAGGTCGCGGGTTCGGGGGGAGAGCTGTCCCATGCCTCGGGTGCAGTACCCCGCCAGCCGCGAACGTGGGGAAGAGAGTGGGAAGGCGAGGCGTGGCGGGGACGTAGCGGAGGGGGGTGCCAACTGACCGGGGAGGGGTCGGACCGGGAGACGCGGGGAAAGGCCCTTCGAAGGTCTTGCTTGGGCCACAGCTTATTTGGGTCATCACTGGTCAATGGCAGGTAGAGGTGCGGGGGCCTGATGATCTGGGTCAGGTCTGGAAGTAGGGGACTTGCGTAGCGAATGCCCCTACACCCTTGCATATGCGTCCGCGTTCTCCCCAGAGTCCTTCTGCCCCCTCGGCTTTCTGCTTGGGTTTTTCCTTCTGAAACCCCGCCCACGCTGCTCCCCCCGCCCCCGCCCACGTTCCCCCTCCCCGGGGACTTAGCAATCGATCCCCTGCTGCTTGCATGGTGCAATCCCCCTTCTCTCTTCCAGTCTTTGACCTCAACCTGTGCTTTGCCCCCCCCCCTTCCATGCGGCTCCCCACGCTCAACCTCACCACCCCTAGATGGACCATTCAGGCCCTGGCTGACAAGTTCCGGATCCGGAAGCAGCGGGTACTTGCAATCCTGGCGCTCAAAGTAGGGGCGGGGGGGAGGGGGGGAAAGACGAACCACACACGGGGGAGGGGGGCTTTAACGCGAGGGGGGGTTGTCGCGTTGTGGTCCCTGATATTGGCGGGAAGGAGTCAGTGGGAGAGCGGTCGCTGGGTGGCGGGCGCGTGAACAGGCCCGGAAAGGTCCCGAACGGGGGGGTGGGGGTTATATGAAGGTGGGCGCTAGGTTGAACCAAGAAAAGCACAGAACAAGATTCTTGCCCGCGGTTTTCACATCTCCTCAGGTTTCCATTCCTTGATTCCAAGCCTCTGGCTCCTGGAAGCCCCTTCTTGTTCTCATCTTCTTCTTCCATCGCCCACCCATCAACTCTACCGCACCCTTTTACCCTACCCGTCACTCCTTTTAATTTTTCCATATCCCTTATCTGTTACTTCCTCTCAGTAATCCCACGTTAATGTCCACATTTTTACGGTCTCATCACCCCCCCCCCCGCCAACCTCTCCAACCCAACTATAGGAGATGGAGGCTCAGCGCATGGAGGACGGGCGGCTGCTGGGCGGCCCCCTCTCCGCCTACGCCCTCCCCGTCTACCTGCGGGACGTGCACCTGGACCCGATCACCGGGAGCCCCCTGCTGACGCCCACCACCGCCGCCGTAACGACGACGACCCAGACGTCACCACAGCAGCAGCAGCAGCAGCAGGCTGATGGGTTCACAGCCTCCACGGAGGAGCTGCAGGGAGCGGGAGCTGCTACTCCGGCGGCGGCGGAAGGAGCAGCGGAGGCGGCGGGGTCGGCGGTTCATGCCCTGAATGATCATGTGGACGAGGTGGTGCCGCGGGTAAGACAGTTGGCAGTTGGCCGTTAGGGGCGCTGGCTTTAGGGGTCGGGGGTTCAGGTCATTGGCTTAGGGAGATGGAGGAGGAGGAGGAGGAGGAGGAGGGGATGATGATGATAGTGATGATGCGTATGGAAGGAAAGGAGTAGAGGGCTCGGTGGTACCGCTGGGTGGGCCGCTTATGGGTGCGGAGTTGGGGTGTGGGGAGGAATAGCTTCTGCGGGTCGTACGGGGGTTGGCGTGAGACGCTCCTGCCTCCGGGTGCCGTACACAGGTCGTCTCAGCGGCCCAGAAACTGCAGTTGCAGCTTGTGGAGCTGCTCGGCCAGTACGATTACGATACGGCACGCATCCGTACAGCCCTCCTGGCGGACTTTGACCGGGCGGCCGAGATGGCAGCACGTGTGCTCGGAGGAGCTGGTCCTGAGGAGCAGGCGTCCTCCGGAAGCGCGCCGTACCTGCGGGACGAGCTGCAGTCGTACCGTACGGCGATTGAGGCTGTGGTGGCCGCTGTAGAGGAGGTGGTGGCGTGTTCTGCATCGCTACAGGTGAGCGTTACGGCGGCAGGTGCAGGGAAAGGGAAAAGGCGGAGAGAGAGTTTTTGAAACGGCGGTGACGATAATAATCGTGATGGCACTGAGGAGGGTGCCAGAGGGTCCGCACGTGCGTGTGTGTTTTAAATGTGGAGTGATGATGTGCGCCCGTTTGTCTGTATGTCCGCAGGAGGAGCGCCGCGCCGCAGCGCTGCGCCAGCAGGTGGACTCGGTTCTGTCGGCAGCCGGGGAGGGGCTCATGAAGGAGGCAGAGGCCGCCGCTGCAGCTGGCAGTGGCGGCGGCGGCGATACCGGTGATGGCGTCCCGGGGCCGAGCGAGGACTTGTTGGCGTTACAGCAGAAGCTGACGGGGATTCTCGAGCCTGTGATGCGGGCGCCGGGTGATGATGACGAGGCTGACGGCGCGCTGCATCGGGCGTTTTTCGCCCTCTCCCCCAAGACCCGTGGGTCACTTCTGCGGCTGCTTCCGGAGCTGTCCATCCGCCTGAACGCCGGCGGAGTCGACCTGCCGCGGGCCGCTAGGGACGCGGCGTATAAGGGACCGAGTGCCGCTGCAGCGGCAGAGGCAGCAGGTGACGGCGGCGAGCAGTCATTGCCACGGGAGCAGCTGGCGGTGGATGTGTTTGGGTTTATGCCGGTTTCGGAGCAACGTTGCACGGCATTGGCGGTAGCGCTGCAGTCCTTGGAGGCCGCTAGGGCGGCGGTGGTGGGCAAGGTGGCGGCGTTGGATCCCGGGAATGCGGCTTTGAGTCAGACAGGTAGGGTAAGGTTGCGAAGGATAGGGGAGGAGTTCAGATGGGGGGTGCGTGCATGTGTTCGTACAATTGGTTTGTAGTTATTGTCGTACTCTTGTTTGTTGGCGCCAGTCGTTTGCGTCCGTGAACCACTCGACTTGGTGGGTTTCAGATGGGGCTGAGCTGATTTTATGTTGCATACATATACACAACATTACTTCTTCCTCCCTTCTCCCTTCCTCCCGTTGCTCTCCTCCTCCCCCCCCATCCGCCTCCGCTAGTGTCTTTTAAGAAGTCGGCAGTTTGATCCTTAACGTTTTGAATTTGGTTTCCCCGTCCCCTCTTCGCCTGGTTCCGTAGCCACCGCCCCGCCGGCTGGCGCGCCGTCCGCGTACGACGTTCAATTGGCGCGGTCGTTGGCACGGCAGTACGTCGCAACCGACGTCATGTGGGCGGATCTGCTGGCGCCTTCCCAGGCGGTGGTTGAGCGGCGGTTGGCGGTTCCCTCCCTGGATCCCGCCAGGAAGCGCCGCATGCTGGAGGTGCTGTACGACGCGGATCCCGGCGCCGTCACGCGGGCCTTACAGGTCGAGGCCGCCATGCAACTACGATTCCGAAAGGCCTTTTCGGAAGCGGATGCGCTGGCGGCGGGCGTCGGCGGGGCCGCGGCCGCTGAAGCTGCTGCCGCTACGCAACCTGAGGGCGGTCAGCAGCGGGAGGAGGGGGAGCAGGAGAGTGGTGCAGCCGCTGCTGGGGGGTTGCGGCAGCGGCAGCGGCCCGGTGATCGGGGCAGTTGGGACGCGCTGGCGGCGTTTTTGGAGGCGCGGGTGGCGGGCAAGGTGTACGGTAGTGGCAGCGGCGAGCGCCACGTCGCCAGACTGCCAACTTACCCCGCATTCGAGGTGCGGTGTGTGTGTGTGTGTGTGTGTGTGCGCTTTGGGCCGGTGATCAACGTGAGGGATAGCAATGTGCGTGTCAGCCTCTGTGATGATTGTGTACGTGTGTGGCGATGGGGTGGGCTTGGAGGGGGGAAGGGGCTGCGGGGAAGGAAGTCCTCCCGCGGTGGTGCTGGGGTTAGCGCGGGGACGGTCTGATGTGGGTGAGGTGGTCCTGGGTGGGGTGCGGATCGGTATGCGGAAGGTCTGGTGGGCTGGTGGGCTGGGGCGTGGTGGAGGACGGCGGAGCTATTAGGACGTGTGTGTGTGTGTGTTGTTTAGGAGTCGCGTGCGATCCCGCGCGCAATACAACACAACATTCCGTGCGACTTAACCTCGCGGGCCGCCCCGTCTTGAAGGCGCCTGCGGTGTCAGTGCCTTCCAGCTGCGTGTAAGAGTTTGCGTCGCGTTTCCGGGCTTGACATCCCCTTTTCCCCCTCCTTGCGCCTTCTCCGCTTGACACCGTTTTGCGATGATCCCAATTCTCTGACTGCTGCAGCTGCTGCTGCTAGTGCTGCTAATGCTATGTGCATTCGTTTTGCTGTCTGTCTGTTATTTCTGTTGTTCATTCTGTTGTCTATCGCCGCTAAAACAATTGGGCTCAGGGCTATAGCCTGGAGGAGTTTGACCGAGCGGGCGAGGGCGAGATGAGCGCACTCAATCGCAAGGCTTCGGAGCAGTTGGATGCAGAGATGTACGACAGGTTCCGAAAGGATTTGCTGTTCAACCTGGGCCTGGTGAGTTAGGGACGTGCGTTGTACGACACATGTTGCGTCATCCCCCCTCGCCCCCGGGCGCCGCTCCCCCTTGGGGGAATGGGGGTGTTTGGGTTAGGGTTTCATCGCCTCTCTTGTTTTGCTTCTCCTGTGTCCCTTCGCCTTCGTGTGCCCGTCTGTCTGTATGACTGTCTGTTTGTTGACTCGGGTGTGTTCTCCACATCGTTTTCTGTTGCTCGGAAGAACGGTTTTTTTTATCTTGGGATTGCCTATATGACTGTGTTTCCTTTCCACCCCTCGTTATTAAAACCCTTTCCTGCCTCTTCCCATCCGCGCCACGCCCACCTTGCGCTGAGCAGCGCGGTGAGAAGCTCCGCGTCAGCCCACATGAGCAAGGTCCCTGGCCATCCAACTTGCGCACGGAGCTGACGCAACCTGTCGTTGTGTACGGCATCGGACCCGACGGTACGACCAAGTACCCGCCCTTGTACGTGGCCACCGGCGATGGGAAGAGGCGGCCACTCAACGATCAGGAGAAGGTGTGTGAGAGATGCGGGTGCGCTCACGCACAACGAATACACGGACACAGAAACGAACGAGACTCGGTGCACCTCAGCGTGTTGAAATATGCCGCGCACCATTGCCACCGGTTCATCAAGGCCATCAGGCCTATTTACCATTTCGAGTCATTCATCCACCTTTTGGCTCCGCCTCCAGCACCACACGCCAGCCCTTGAAGTTTGGTAGATCCCTATATATTCCCTTGCGTCGTACTCTTACGCTTGCCGTACCCCACATTTTAGGTTGTTGCTACCCCTAAAAAGGCTCTTGTGCTTGGAATTTAATTTGTGCAAACAGAGTTTTTGTTTGGGTCAAATTTAGACCTGGAAGATCTGGATTTCGGTACCGTTGAGGTCCCGGTGGTAGGAATACATTTGTCAAATGGTTTGGGGATTGTTAACCCGGGACGGATCCTACGTTACCCCCACAGGTCTTCCAGGAACGCCGTACGGTCAGGGAGCGACTGCCGTACTACATGGGCCGCATCCGTCGTATGCCCGAGCTCGAGTAGGAGCTCTGCCTCGTTGCTGCGCTGCTCCACGTTTGCGCGTTCGGCCTTCGTTTGTTCTTACGCGCACGCGTGTACCTTTTGGAGCAGCTCGGTTTGCCGCATTAGGCTGAGGGCTTTTACTCTTCAGCTCGATTCTGCCTGCTCGGTTTATGGTTGTGCTGTCACTCGGGTTAGGAATTCTGGAAGTACGGGGTTACGGGTGCTCAGGTCAGTCTTGTCGTGGTCAGGTAGGGTGGCCTATTCCTGTGAGATTGTGGTGCAGCATTGGGCCCTCTTCTCCCTTGCTAGCGGACAGTCGGTTGGATGGTCTTGGTCTTGAGTAGAGCGCTGCATCGCAGGTGTGCAAGATTGTGTGTGAGTGTAAGGAGCATCTTCCCCTCCTCTCCCCTCCCGAGTTAATGGGCCCTGGATGAGGTGATGCAATTATTTGGACTGTGGCCGACTTGACAAATCCACTCGGTTTTTCGGCACTGCGCACGCATTCTCTCCTCCGAGAAGTGCTGATCAGCACACGCGCTCGTGCGCGCGCGCGCGAAAACGATCTTCCAGTCTTCGACATCGCTCCCTCTCGCGTGTCCTTGTTCATGTTAGGGGCTTCGGATGGGCGTAATCAGTCGAGTGTTCGTTCCAAAAAATAAAGTACCGATCTGTTAGAATGTATTAAGTGCGTGAGCTTTGTGCAAAGGCGGACTGCTCGCGACCTTGGAAGTTGCGGGGACAGACCTCCGGATGCTCATCATATGGTTTACAAGGGGGAGCTGGAGCTGTTCGCCGGACTCCCCGGGAACTGCTCTGCCGGACGCTACACACGCACCGTTTCCCCGGTGCTGCCTTTGGCCTCTCGGAGTGAGGAGCGGCGGTCACACGGCATGTGTAGGTCCGGCAAACAGATCACCGGCACAAAACGCGTCTCACAGCGTTACGTAGCTCATGCAGGGGCCCGGAGGTGCGCAGCTTATATACTATACTAAGCAGCGGCGCAATCCGAGCAGCAAAGTCATGGAAAAAGACCCTTCCCTGGGAGCAACATTGTCCTGGACAGGGCCGGCGTGCGAGTCCCTCCGGCAGCCATCCTCACGGGACTGAAAAATTAAAACCTATTAAAAAACCGGGACAAGTGCATCGATAGGGAATTGGGGGGGAGTACAGTCCGGCGGGGGCAAAAGGGGGAAAGCCCTGCCGGCTACGGATACACCTTCCCACCGGAATGATGTCGAATAAAAGCGCCGAGGCAGCACGCGCTAAGGCGGGGCCGGGTCCGTTCCCTTCTGTTTGGAAATGGCCCGAGCGGATCACATAAACTTCTATAATATAAGGCTACCGTACAAAGCCACTGTACATAATTACACCGTACGGATACGGCATCGTACCGTGTCCCGTTAGACCCTGTACCATACGGATACATATATATTTACATATACCATACGAAATTATACGGATACACACATATACGTACGTATATGTATACCGTACGGAGAGGCCGTACGTCGACGTCCAGAGCCCTATCACAGCACAACACACAAATTGTTCAGCACAGCATGAAATTTGATTTGCAGGCTGGTGGTGGCATCATATAATTGCAGCAGGTTTCGACGATGTGCTAATGCATTCCAACCGCATAACTGGACGACTGGTTACGCGGGACAGGGAAGCACGGAGTGGTCGCTGCAGCGCCGTTAGGCGCGGTGCGCCGTGCTGCCTCCCCCCTGCTTGGGCCACACCAGTAAGGTTTCCAACAGAGTGCCCAGCCGGTGAGTTTGTCAGTGAGCGGCGTTAAGCGATGGGAAAGCACATACCAAGCAGTTTTTGACAGACACACACACACATGCGCGCGCACAATTCCCCTGCTCCAAAACGTGACAGCCACGATGGCAAAGCGTGCACATGACGGAAAGCGTTGTTTCAAGAGACAGCTAGAAAGGCGGAGGAGGAAAGGCGGAGGACGGAAACGGCGGCGGGAACGCCGGCCACGGTCCCACCGTCACAGCCTTCCACAAGTCGCGTAGCGCCTCAGTTCCCAGCCCTCACACGCCGTCATCTGCGTCGACAATGAGAAGGACCGACATTGCCAAATACCAACACGTCGTTGCCATCACCACCATCACCGTAACATGCCAGCACCAGTTCGCAACCAACCAGCGACCCAACAGACAACAGCGCCGTGCCAACAGCAGTACCAGCTAGTTATTCATCGTTGCAACGCAACCTACAGTACCATGCTCTGCTGTGCCCTCCTGCCGTGCCATGCTGTACCGTTACCGTACCGTACCGTACCTTCATTCACCCCACACAGGTCACCGCGCTTTGCCCATCCCCCGCACCGTGTCATCACTCTCGTGTCCATCCTCAAGCGGTCCCCGAGATTACCTCCGGGAACAGCTCCCAAGGAAGTCCCCTCTAAGGCGCTTCTCAACCAACAGCTCCAAGCGACTATTTGCACGTCATGATTTTATATTCTGCACATGGGGCCAAAAACAGTCATCAGCCAGGCACTCCAATGCCGCACTTTAACAGAGCTTGCCGCGGTAGAGGAGCGGGGTGTTACGCCCTCCTCTTGACTTTCGGGGGAAAGGCGCAGAGTGCGTAAATTGGCAGGCCGGCACCTTTCCAGCTATATACCAGGATACGTCAACGTTTTAGAGAGCCACAAACAGTGCAGTCGTATGATGGACATGATGGTGGTGATGAAACACGCATTCAATGATTGGGTGCATGACAGAGTACATGTCAGATAGACAACCAGGAGCTATATGTATTTTACAGCCGAGCAAACCCGCCTCCGCGGCGAAAGGAGGCAACTCAACGTTGATCATATGCGTGAATGCTACACGCCACAATAAACTGGACGGAATATAGCTGTGTCGTACCACGTACGGCACAAGCTCACCTCCGGACGAGGAGGACGCAATCCCCTCTGCAGACGTCAACCAAACCCCCACCTCCAACCCCAACCCCAGGCTGAGAGGGGGTCTGCGCACGGCCTCGCCCTCCAAGCCGGCTCTGCCTTTCACCCGCTCCCTCTCCCCCCCAATCACCCCTACGGCCTCTTACGGCGTGCGACAACTCGCCAGAGGGCCCCCTCGGCTTAGTGGAGCTGCTGCCGCCGCCGCAAAAAGAAACAGGAACTACGAATCACTACTGCTACACATGCGACCCCTTTTTACGTGCGGCCTTTTACACCGCCCCTCCGGGCATTTAGCCCCATCCCCGGTGAATGGCCATCGACAGGGATAGCGATTTCTACATTTTCTGGGGCCTTTGTGCTGCGCAAAAGCTAGGCGGGACTCCCCACACCGGCCCCCCTGCGCGCTGCCCACTGCATGTGGGAAGTGGGGAAGGGGGTGAGGCTCCCAGCTACAGCAAATACATCTCGCGTCCTGAGAGACCGGCAAATGTAGGAACTTACTACCACTACATCTTATTGTGCAATGAAATCGCGCTGCCTTCGGGCGCCTTGCACTGCAATGCGCAGCTTTCGCACTGAGCTGGTAAGTAATTATCTTTGCACGCTTCGCTTTGAGCGCACGCTGAAGCACATGCACACTGAACGGGCGCCAGCCTTTGCGGGCGCCGGCGCCGCCCTACCCCGAAGCCAGGGCCCCATGCAGCCGGCCCTGTCCTGGACCAGAGCGAGTATTGAGGGATCAGCCCTTCCCTTTATGCTTCTTAAAACTGACATCACACTGCAATCGCAATTGGAACTGCAACCCCAACCGCTCCAATCGAAACTGCAGCACTCGCTGCAGCTGCAGCAGTGGCACCTCTTCCTAGCACGGCTCTGCACACTGCACTCACACGCAGACCAACAAGGCCACTGGCAATGCCGGAAGCATAAGGGAGGCAACACCGCTGAAGCAACGACGGATGGAAGGAGTGCGTCGCCCAACGACGTCGCTTGTTCTCTTTACTGCAGCTGCGAGATTTACAACAGCTGCGACTGACGCGCCGCTCAAGTCTGCGATTGCGGCGTTGGCGGCGGCGCCGGAACCAAACCGCTGCTCGCACCTTGAGGCTGCTCTCCAAAGCCGCCGGCGACATAGAGCACCCTCCGGGAGCGCGGATTGGCCCCCAACCCATTGGCGCCGACCCGTGGAGGCATCTCAGCGGCCGGCGGCGGCGGCGGCGGAGGAGGAGGAGGAGGACCTTCACTGTCGCCGTCGCGCGCGTTGACAGCGCAAACAGGACCGGAGCGCAACGGCTCATCGTACGGCCCGCCACCGCCGCCGACGCCCCCACCCACGGGTGACACTCGGTGGCCCACAGACGGCGATGGCGCCAGCGGCGCCGCTCCACCAGCAGCGGCGGCGACGGCAGCGGTTAGCGAGGAGGTCCCGTGGCCGCCGCTTGGCGGGCTTGGAGCCAGTCGTGGCAGCGGCGTTGGCGTCGTCGCTGGAGGTATGGGCGCGTTGGGGGCGCTGAGACGGACCGGGCGAGGGCTGGCTTTGGCTACGTGGTCGTCCGCAGCTGTGGGGGCGCCCGGGTGGCAAAGGCCAAAGGGTGTCTCTGAAGGGCGTCGTGGTTGCCGCGGCGACGTCGGCGGCGGCGCACCTGTCTGGGACCTTTCCCGCGCCCGCTCCCCCATCGCAACCCGCGGGCTAGCGGTGGTTGACATCGACGCCGCCGCCACCGACGGCGAAGTCGGCTGCTGTCCCGTCACGCCACCGCTCTGTGCGGAGAGCCTCGATGGCAGCGGCGGCTGCGGCTGCGGCCCCACCGCTGCCGCTGCTCCGCGGCGGCCTCCACGTGGGCTCGTCCCAGTTGCCGTTGCAACCCCTGACGACGGCGGCGCCGCAATTCTTTCAAATTCGCCGCTTTCAACACCATCGGATTGCCTGCCGCTGCAGCTGCCGCTGCCGCCGTCGCCGTCGTCAATGGAGCTGTTAGATGCACAAGCAATTAAAGTCGGACGCTGCGTCGGCACCCGCAACAACACCCGTCCCGTCCTGGCGGCTGGCGTTACAGCGCGCGGTGTCCGTACGGTATTAACCCGCGTCAGAGCCCCAGGTAGCGCTGCCATCCCATCGTAAGAGCGGTCACTGCCGCTGCCGTGCTCCCCTAGAGCGGCCTGCGTGGCCGCTGTCGTGGCGGCGCGAATGGGACTGTCGGCGCCGCCGCCGCCACTGCTGCCGCCGCCGAGTGACCTGTCGGATGCCGAAAGCACCGCCATCGTCGCCTCCAGCATGTGCTTCCAACGGGGCGCTGTAGCGCTACTGTTACTGCCTCCTCCACTGCCGCGCGGGACGGGGAAGTTGGTTCCGGAGCCAGAGGACCGCCGCGCTGAATCGCCCACTTCCTCAGCCGCGCGACCATCCAAGTCTTGACGCAACTTCGAAGACATGTTGCTATGTGATTTCCAAAGGCCCCAATTCGATTCCTGGGCGCGATTTTTCCAATACCTCCAATTCGGCTGTTGCTCTGTTGGCGCGGAGCCGTATGCCGATTGTTGCTCGTTATACTCGCGCTGCTGGCTGTAGCTGCGATTCAGGACCGGTACGGCTATGCCGGAGCTTGAAGCCGGCCTGTCACGTTTTTGGCTGTAGCTGCAGTCCTGCAGAGGGGGAGCCAGCCCCGGGAAGCTGTTCCCACCAGAACCCGCCGTCCTTGCTACTGCCGCAGCATCGCTCTGTGGTACGCTGACCGCAGCGGCTGCAGCGGCACCACCACCGCCGCCGCCGCTGACACCGCCGGCGGTAGCCATGCCATTATAGCTATGTCGCTGGCTTTGCAGGCTATTTAATGTACGCCGTACGCTGCTGTAGCCAAAGACCGCCTCCCGCAGTAGGGCCGTCCGGCGCGCCAGTGCGTCGCCGCCGGGGTACTGCAGCCCGTCGCCGCCACTGCCGCCGCCGCCGCCTCTGTCACCACCATCGACGCCACTAACCGGCATCGACACACGCCGCAGGGGTTCGCGGACAGGGCGCAGGTCAGCGCCCGTGGCCAGGGCAACAGCGGCGGTGAGGGACGGCGGTCCGAGACCCTCCAGCGGGCGACCGCCGCAACCCCCCATATCAGTGATCGAGCGATTGGAGCGCTGCCGTGCAAGGGGTGTGGATGTCGGCAAGTCGCCGCTGCCTGCCGCCGCCGCAACCTTCGGCGGCCCAGCGCCGAGTATGATATCCATGGTCGGCGATGATGGCTGTGCGGGTGCCAGGGCAAGCAAGGTCACCTCTAGCGCCGGCGCCGCCAGTGACGGCGACACACCGGCCTTCGGCGTTGATGGCAATGCCGAGGTCAGAGCCAGCGGCGCCGCCGACAGCGGTAACCTTGGTGACGCCGGCGGATGCAACGGGGGTAATGCGGGAAGCCCTGAAGTTGATGCTGACGTCGCCGCCGACAGCGATATCTGCTGCTGGTGGACGTCGTACGGAATGCCGCCTAGGCTCAGGCGGCCGTAGTTGTTGCTGCTACAGCCGCTGAGGACAGGCGGTGCTACAACCCCTGTGCCTACAGCCCCGCCTGTGTCACCGCGGGGATTAGCAAGGTTGTTCGCGGACGCCGCCGCTGCGAATGAAGGAGACGAAGGAGGAAGGTCCATTCGACGCATTGACTTCGTGACCCGTGGGTCTGCTCCCGATGCCCGTGCCGCCGGGTCCCCTAACTGATGCTCCAGGGGAGCCAACCGCACGGGGACACCGTTGAAGCTGATCCTCATCCTGCCGCTCAGTTCCTGCCGCAATTCAGGACTTGCTACTGCTGCTACTGCTGCTGTTGCCGCTGTTACTGCTGCCCCCGCTGCCGGGCCCGCCGCCGCGGCGTTGTCAGCATGTGCTGGCAGCCGCACCGACCCATGGGCGCCGTCTACCTTTAGCACGGTGTCTGGCTGCCGCTGCTGCTGTAGCCCCTGCGGCTGTTCCAGCTGCTGTTGCTGCTGCTGCTGTTGCACCTCCCCGTCTTCGCGGTACGGCGGCGGTGGCGGTGTTGCTGGTGGCGGTCCACAATCACACGGTCGACCGGGTGCACCGGGCCGCTCCACGGCCGTCACCTCCGGAACCTCTCCTGCTCCCGTTCCTTCTTCTCCTCCTCCAGCGCCTCTGCGCTGCGACGGCTGGTATTCCAGCCGTACACCCGCCGCTGCTGACGCGGCAGCAACGTCCGCGCGCTCTTTCAACGTCGCCTGCCGCTGAAGCTCCTGAAGTTTGGCCGCCTGCTGCTGCCGCCTCCTTTGCTCGTCAGCCAGCCGTTCGCGGTCTGCAGCGCGGCCCTGCTCCTCTGACGCCTTCTGCTGGTCCAGGATCTGCTGAGACGAGGGCGGCTGCGGCTGCGGCGGCGACGGCAGTTTGCTGCTTGAAGCCGCGACGCCGCCCGTGGCCTTGGACTCCCAGCTTGGTGCGAGCTGGGAAGCGAAGCTGTGGGAGGCTTTGTGGCGATCGAGGTTGAGAACATCGGCAGGCACACGCGTGCTGCGCCAGGCCAGAAGGAAGCTCGAGGCGGCGCGACTGGAGGGTCCTTCCTGGGGCTGAGCGGCTTGGGAACCGCCCCGGAATAGGGATAGAAAGCGGCGGAACCCGGATTCCTGCTGTTGTGCTTGTTGCACTTGTTGTTGGGACGAGAATGGCGATGATGTTGAGCTAGGCTGATGGACTTGATCTTTTTGGCCTGTGGCCTGCGGCGTTTGGTTGGCGGTGGGACGGAAGGCGGTGAGGAGTGGCAGGATGATAGTGGCGGTCGTGAGGAGGCACTGACGAAGTAATGCATTCGGGCTTCAGGAGTGGATGGAGAGCGTGGGAATGGAGGGCGGGCAAGTTGGGGAGACAAGGAATTCTACTAAGTTCTTTATGTTTGGATTGTGGTTGGGACCTCACATCCAACGTGCACTGGTCGGAAGGGGGCCGTAATGTGATTATGGAATGTCGAAGGGCCACAAGACAATGCCAATCACCGACAAACAGATCTTGAGAAATGACATGGAACATTATGTACAAACTGAGTTCATTATGAAAGCCGCGCCAGGCCATGTGCACGGAACGTTTTTTCCTCATTACCATAGCCTACCTCATGAGCTCTACCTCTTACGATTCCTTACCTTTTGGCCCGAGCCGAAGTAATCGATGGCATTCTTAGCTCCTTTGAGGCGCCCCATTCTTCTCTTGGCCTTGTCTTGGTGAGATGAAAGACAACCTGCTGGCGTCTTATTCCCGTTTTAATACACACTGGCCATCATACATGATTAAAGTCCCAGGTATCTAGGGGAACGTGAAGCGTTTCCTCAAGAAACACGGGATCATGCCTCGACAACGGCCGGGACGATAGGCGTTATGGGCCTCCTGAGGTATACGTCGGGCAGCCAACCATCCATTTCGTCATGTTTAACGACAGAAGAGAAAGTCCTTGACTTAATAAAAGGTAATGCCTCCAGGTGGAGTAGCAGTCGGACTGCATTATTGTGACGCTGCTGGCGCAGCAAGTTCCTGCACGAGTCCTACAATGTTCTGCACGAGACATGGAACGTGTGAGGTGTGGTGTTGAGTCAAACGAGTTATGAATGTATCCCCAAAGTTGGATGGCCTAGCCAATTTGGGAGACAACGTCCGCCTGGTCTCGTGGGGAAGTCCAAGTGCTCCCCAGTGAAAGTTGCTATGGGATCGACCACAAAACTGAGCCTACACTGTTCCTCAAAACGCTGCTTTTAAAGTTTCGCCCCTATAAAAAGTCTGCACTGTGCGCATCAAGTTCAAGCCCTAATTTTTCAAATCTACATGCCGTACCATTGCAGCTGCGCGGCTAGGGTTGCAAATTCCTTGAACAACAATAGAAGCATTTATAACTGTTTGGTCAAAGAAATGCAATGTTACTCTGTTGTATAAAGCCTGTCTAGCGATGCCGAAATTTGAGATTTTTGCGGAAAGTTTCGACCGGACCTGGAAGGATCAAGAACGCCGCAAACGATGTAGGCTTGCTGAGGAAGTGAAGAAGGGACGCCGAGGAACGCCACCCCCCGTTTTACCTGGTAAAGGATACTGGATGGACCAGATGGCCGTTTCCAGCCCGCACAGAAAAACCAGAACACCTGGGAGTCTTTGCGTATGATGAGGAGTGACTTCCAGCGGGCTCAGGGCCCGAGGTGGCGGACGACAGTGACAGTGGAGCCTCATCGTCAGACGGCGAAGAAGGCCGTGAAGCTCCTGAAGCCCGTCCGCTGCCTTGCAGCGAGGATTTAGCCTCTGCATACTTTCGGGACTTGGTTTCAGCAGACAATTCTCGCTAGGTGCTGCTTGCAGCGCAACGCACGGCTATCACGGAGGCAGTCTTGGCAGCAGGAAACGTCCCCGATGCAGCTGACCTGGGCAGCATGGGGGCCAGAGTTGCCCGATCACCATACTCCTTTAGGAGCAGCCTGTCAGCGTTATCGAGCAAACCAAGTGGTGCCCGCAGTCCCGCATTCACGCCGGTGCCACTCCGACGGAAGTGGACTGCCTTCCAGGCACCAAAGTGGCCGTGGACATTTGCCTGAGGCGCGACGAAACAACCCTATCTGGTGGCAACAAACCCTCCTGCAGCAGTTCGACGTGCTGGCCTTCTGCACGCGGCATATGAGTGCAGACTGCGTTTGTGCTGCAATGGTGGCGATATGGCGTTAGTGCTTACCGCGACCTTCAGGGGCTCATTAATGATTTCTCAGAGTCCTTACATGGCTGGCCATGTGGAGCTAGCTTTAAATGGATGGCCCTGCTGCGGTGATGGTCTGCCGCCGCCGCCGGCTCAGCAGCACCAGCAACCACCGACGCCAAAGCAGGAGCAGGAGGGTGCAGACGAGGATGGGCAGTCACCAGTAGCTGGCTCTGGGGGCCCATCGGCTGCAACAGTGACCGGCAATCTGTGTCCAGCTCACAAGACCATCAGGGCTAGGGCTTGCGCCTCACTGGTGGTGTAGAGGAGGCTGCGCCAGGGCCACAACCTGTGCATTCAGTGCACTTTGATGCGAACCTTAAGCTGAGCCTTCTCGCATATCCAGTGTACACAAAGGGTTACCCCCAGTTACCCCGGTGTCGGTTCTTCGTCAGCTACGGGCGCGTGCTGGCAGCTCTGGGTGACCGAGCAGCATCACAGAATATTGGCCCGAACTCCTGCTCTAACTTCAATGCAGGTAAAGTTCTTGCTGCAGAGTCCCAAAAGGCTAGTACAAACTTGGGAATGTCTTGTTGAAAGTCTATCACTATCTTACTTGCCGTCTTTCTGTATCTGTTATGCAGAACCTCATTACAGCACTTGGCGTCGCGCTGTGTCGCCGTGGCGTGCTTCTACACCTAGTTAATCTCTTTGGGTCCTCCTGTAAATAGCATGGTTTTCGCCCTCCACAGCTATTCACACCAGAAGGAACTGGCGAGCCAGCTGAGGTCGGGAAGAGCATCGTGGGGCCGCATGGAGCTGTCACCCAGTACATGGCCCAAGGCAACCGCAAGTCACACCTGGAGCGTGTAGGGCGGTTGTATTGCCACCAGGTCTTGCTAGGCCTGCTTTTCCGTATGTGGCGGATGAAGGTGAGGGCAAATTGTGCCCTGGAGGCGGCCCGAAATCGTATAGCCAGATTGGAGAGCAGCCTGCTGGCTGCAGCAGCAACCGGCAAGTCACTAGATGGTAGGTATGTTAAGGTTTTGGATGATAGGTCTGTCAGCAATTTGAAACCTCTTGATTCGTAATGCACCTTGTACTTCAGGTGAGAGGCCGGCAGGGGCAGTTAATGCAGCAACAGTGGGCGGGGCCATCTACTCAGCAAAGTACACCAGGTGCCGGCTCGCTCTGGAAAAGTTGCAGGGATTGGATACAGTTGACATGGCAGCAGATATGGCCCCCCTTGGCCTGATTTCCAGTGGAGCCGATACAGCTTCGATCAGGCAGAACCCAACCCTAATTCGCTCGATTAGGGTACAGGCTGAGGAGATCAGGATGCCTACTCTCTAACAGCAGCAGACTGGGGCCCAGGGTCAGAGGCGTTGAAAGATGGCCTGACACAGCTTGCCCGAGAGGAGGTGAAGAAGCTTTTCTCTGAGGCGGAGGTACATTGCTGTTAACGCTGTGGATTTTCCACAGACAATTCTTCAAATCGCTTTTATTTCCATTGTCATGTATGTTAGGACATGGTCATGGATGGATGCAGCCTGGAGCTTGTGTTGCGTGATCTGAGTGGCCGACGGAAGGAGCAGCGATTCACACAGCATGAGGTGGTCCTCACAAACAGGGGGTGGAGCGTGCATGGGACAACATCCTCACATGCTGTCGGCTTAGTTATGCCCTGCGCTGTGTCTGCCAAGTGCTAGGGCATCCATACAAGCCAGGAGGATCAGGGACACCCCGCCATGCCCACAGCATGCCCTCATGCCCACAGCACACTTAACATTTCATCACCCAACCGACTTAAGCAGAATTTACAGGACCTTCCCTTCCCACATCGGTTCAATATCTTAGCCATAAACAGCTTTCAGAATAATTGCCAGTTGGTGCCATGGCCACTTTGAGCAAAGCGGGGAACATTCTCATTTGCCTGCATAAGGGGCCCCACACTTCCCATTCCAAAAGCACCAACGTCATGCTCGTGAAAGGTAGAATCCTTGGCACCATGACCCTCAGCTGGCACTACAACCCGGCGTGACAAATTTGACAAACCAAACCAGCAGCAGCAATAAAGTTTCATGGCCGCTTTTATTTTTCAGCTTGCGACTTGGGCTCTGCTTAATAGTTCGGTCCAATCTTTGGGCGCTATGTACCGGTGTTGATCTGTTGCCGTCACCACTGTTCGAGCCCTCTCTCCGCTGATGTAGCTCGCTGACAGCTAGGCAGCCCGCTGGATAGGTGAGGGTGAGTTTCGGTCGCTCATCAATTTTAAAATTGTAAAGCTGCATAGCGGCCAGTGTATATTAGAATGCATAGCGGCCATAGTGCTGATTCAGACAGGCGTCGGAATTTTGTTCGTCTGCCATGCCGCCCGCCATCCATCAGGGCTTCGATCGTTCGCTTAGGCTGTTCAGGGCCGTTGAGTCGCACTCCCGCCGCTATAGTCTTAAAATGATCGATGGTGGTTCAAGAATCACAATATTAAGTTAAACTATTCGACTAACTGCCAACAGCAACTTCGTGCCAGTGCTGGCGCGCTTGCTGCTTTTGCTTCACACGTCAAACCCCTTACATGTGGACTTATTATTGGCCGTCTGTATACCGTCCGTTAGAAGCAAATCCCGTTTTAATGACATGCTAACCTAAAAAACAAAGCGCTGGGAGCGCTTAAGGCCGCTGAAACATTTTCTGTGCATCCTCAAATCATGTTGCGCCCTCGCACATCTCCTAGAGCACAACCAAATTTCCAAAAGACTTAGTGGCCCTAATAAGTCCCTACGACCAAACTCTCTTTACACCATAGCGGCAATTTCCGAATGACAAAAAATAGCGTTTTTCGGGTCTGGTGATTGCTCTTGGTCAGCATAAGGCCTTGGGTAGACGATGTGAGCAGATATCATCACACCTGCCTATGAATAAACACATACACGTTTTCATACACAGATACCAATTCCTCGGCTGAAAGCTCCAGGAAAGGAAGTGCCCCCGATGTGTTCCTCTGAAACCCCGTAGGCAGGACCTGGCGTACTGTCGGGTCGTACATAACGACAGCGTACCATGATATTGCCTTACAGCCACCGTACAGCTACCGGGCCAAGTGATGCTGACAGCCTCTCAACCAGATAGACACATCAAGACACCAGACGTCCTTACGAGGTTAACACCCAGCAAGAGACACCACCACATTTTAAATATATATTCAAAAATACAAAACAGGACATAAAAAGTAAAGCAATCTCACATTTAAAACGATGGGGGCTGATTGTCAAACCATTTCTACACGAGCGCGAATGACGTAACCCGGAACACCAATACGACTCCCTGTACGGCATGCTCACGGAGGCTTCAATTGCCTCCCTCCCCCCCCCCCCCCAGCACCCCGCCCTCCAGCCCCCCTCTCTAGCCTCCCATCTTGCTCCCGAGTGACCGCACACATCATCAGCCATGCGTCATGCCGTACACATAGGAAAGGCCGTACCAAGGCGCAAAGAAGGCACTCCCGTACGCCATATGCATTGAGCCATGCTTGTGCCAGTAGTACAATGTTCGCCTGTGTGTTTTGTACATTACGTGTGTTTTGTACACATTGCGTGAGGATGAGTACGAGAGTGCGTGAATGTTTTTATCCCCCCCCCCTCAATGGTGTTTTCCGTGCTTGTGGTCCAGCCCATGCTCAGTCAGCCGCCCGGATATCCGGCTGCCAGCCAGGACCGCGGGATCAGGCACTGCCGCCGCCGCTGCCGTCGTAGTCGTCGCCGGCGCGGAAAGCAGCGGCGCCAGTGACGGCGGCGGCGGCGGTGGTGGTGACGGCGGCGGCCTGGGGGCCCCTGGAGCACCGGGGAAAGGGTGACGGAGCGGGTCATCAGTCCCCAACAGATGAGTGAACGGCAGCACATTGCTACTGCAGTGCTGCAGTAGCAGGGGCCCCAGTCAATAGGCCGGGAAGGAGCCACAGCGGTACAAAGGCAAACACACATGGACGGAAACGCCAACACGCACAAACACACACGCACATTTCCCCCCTCCCCCCCCCTCCTCACCGGTTAGGGTCCACAACAGCGCACCCCCCGTCACTATGCCCGCGGAGGCCGCCGCGGGGGCTGTAAGGCACTGCTGCAGCTGTGGCGGCCCGCTGCTGCCATGACTACTGCTGCTGCCACTGCTGCAGAAGAGCAGTCCGCTGGCAACTGCCACCGCAGATGCCCTCAGAGCAGAGATGATGCCGACGGTTGTGGCTCCGGAGCGCTGGAGTACGACACCCTGAACTAAACCATGCGCCGTGAACAGTGCTGCGAGGACATCCAAGCCAAGATCAAGGTCAAGATCAAAAGAGAGAGAGAGAAACACGTGGCGAGCAAAACAGAATCTGCGGACCGCGAAGAGGGGGAATGGCGAGGATGGCGCCTGATGCGACTTCACCGCCTAAGAGTGTGTATGTGTGTGGGCGAAAAGGGGGAGAATGCACAGATGTGCGTGTAAAACACGCGAATGGGTGATATGGTTTTAGTACAAAGTATACGACAATCCTCAAACCCCCAAAGGCTCCCGAGTGATGAGACGACCGACTCGCTGCACCGTGGGCTTCATCTTTCCCCTGCAAACCCCTCACCGCCAAAAATGCCGTACAGTCGTACGACAGGCCACCAACCCACGCCTCGCTGCGCCATGCGGTCCGCCACCAGCTCCCGCCAGCGTGGTCTTGTGTAGATCAGCTGGTAGGCGGATGTGGCCACCAGTCCTATGAGGGATGTGCTCGTGGCCACCTAGGTGTGTGTGGGGGTGTGTGTGGAAAGAGGTCATATCCAAAGCAAAAGGTGAGATGTATGTGTTGTATATGTATATGTGTATGTGTGTGCATGATGGGATTGGAGGGATATTTGTAAAAGTCACGGGAGGAGGGGGGAGGGGAAATGGGGGGAGGGGGCTGTCGTCATAGTCCGGCCCATGAAGCCCGCCTACCTGCGCATGTGACATGGCCGGCCCGCGTACGGCACTCAGCCACTCGTACAAGCAGCCCAGGAGGCTGTAGCCGAAGGCCGATAACACGATCAGAGCCACTCCCACCGCCATATCGCGATCCGACGCGGACTCGGCTACCGCCGCCGCCGCCGCCGCCGCATTCGCCGCTCCCGTTGCGCCGCCTGCAGCCGCCGCCGCCGCCATTGCGGCCATCAGCCCTTGCCGCAATATTCCCGCGGATCGTACGACAAGGCCCAATACCACAAGGCCCACCTGCATAAAAAAGATTATCCTCATCTTCTCACCACGTCCGCGTGTGTGTGTGTTTGGGTTCGTTGTGGCTTTACCCCGGCGCCCTGGAAACACCCGCACCCCTCCTTGACCCCATCCACGAGAAGCACCCTCGAAGGAAACCTCTTCAATGAGACTTCAACTCCATCTCCAACCTCTCCCATCCACCTCTTACATTACATTTTGAGGTATGGTTTTCCTCCTTCCCCCCTCCTCCTCTCCCTCCTCCCCGTCCTCTCTCCCCGCCCTCGTGGTGGAGGCAGCGGCGGCGGCCCGCACTCCTTCCCCTCCCCGCTACCCCCGCCCCCGTTGTGTCTCACTCCCGCCGTTTGGCCTGTCGTCATCGTCCTTCCCAGCAGCACGCGGCGAGTGGCGGCCGTGAAGACCTGACCACTGGCAGCGAACACCACCCTGCGGGTGTGTACATATGTATGTATATGTATGCATGTATGTATGTATGTATGTATGTATGTATGTATGTATGTATGTATGTATGTATGTATGTATGTATGTATGTATGTATGTATGTATGTATGTATGTATGTATGTATGTATGTATGTATGTATGTATGTATGTGTGTGTTATCTATGTTTCCCGCTCCTTCCACAAGCACCCGCACTAAGCCAATACCACACCACACCACACCTCCCCCCCCAACTACTCCTACCTACCTACCTACCTATCCCCCCCACACACACAAGGTGTAGCGGTACTCCCTATCCAGGATAACAGTGTTGTACATGGGCACATATACAGGGGTCGATACTGTCACGGCTACACGTACACAGACCTCAATACACAGCCGCAAACCCCCGACACGCGCCTCTTTCTCCCCCTCCAACAGAGATATAGGAAAAGGGGGAGGGGGGTTAGGGTTGTGTGTGTTTCGGTGGTGACTCACATGCTCAGCGCGGAGCCGCACAGCGCAAAGCCCAGACAGTTAAGACCGTACGACAAAGTGTCCAGCAGCCTGCGGCCAGGTTGGGATGGATGGGATGGGATGGATGAAAGCTAATACTAGGACTCTCTATCGATCAGCGAAGAATTAGCCACACATCGCCACAGTCCGCAACTCCAGTAGAACATAAATGCCAACTGCTCCAGCACTTCCCTCCTTGCCTTCTGCTCCTCATCTCATACATGTCCTAATGCTCCAGTTCGACTGGCGATGGGGAACTGGGGTCGCGCACTACCAGGAGGCTATGGATGCTCAGCTCAGCCGTTCTTGTTGAGATGGAGGCGGCGCGCAATGCACCTTCCGTGGATTTGCATCGGCGCCTTAGCAGCAAGGTGTATGCAACGGATTCGTACATCACTCCGACGCCGCCGGCCGCTGCACCTGGCCCTAGCAGCTGTCCGCGATAATGAGCGTATATAGTCCAAACACGGCACCGTTCCGCCACTTGCAGCCCAGTGCCGTACAGCCTCTCTTGCGGAATACTGTGGGGCGACTGGCTGTACCGGGGCCGAGCCCTTTGTGAAGAAGCTGACAACCCTAGTTCCCTTCTCCCCTGGAGCGATTCATCCCGATCCGCACTCACCCGACTGCTGCCGTCAGCCAGGCGGACTTGCGCGCGCTGCCATCCGCTACTGCTGCTGCTACTGCCGGTCCTGATGCTGGCGCCGTGCCCTGCACTGCTACAGCTGCCGCCGGTCCCGCCGCCGCCGCTGCCGCTCCGCTGCCGCCGGCGCTGCCACCTGGCGCTGGCCGGCTGGATATTAACTGGATGACAAGTGATAGAGCAAAGGTACATAGGTACTTTGTCCAGGCAATAAGCTGGGTGGACGGGTCGGTGGCGCCCTGGATGGGACGGACCCACGGGCCGGTTTTGGGGGCAAGTAAAGAGGGGGACGTCACATAAAGGTCGTCACAGCGCTGACAGGGCATCAGAAAGAGGTATGGTATGGTGGTTCGATCTTCGGAGGTATGAAGGTGGAAGAGCCTGGAATATGGGGAGCCGAGGCGCGATCTGGTAAGACGTGGCGGTCTCCGACGGTTGGAGAGTTAGCCCTAACTGGTCGTGAGCCGCTGCGAGGCTCCGTCCCAAAACTGAAGCCAATATTTATCGCCACAACGGAATCGACCGATCAGTCTTGCGGTGATTGGGCATTTCCAGGAAACCAAGCAGTTGACAGCTGACCATGGCAATGAAAACGTCGCTGGATTATAATACATTATTATGAAGCTTTTACAAACAATGTAACACATAACGCAAGTCACGCCAAGGCCTTGTGCAATATATGTACCTGGTTTGTTACCAACTGGCCCAGAATCGCAAGGGTGGTGCCCGTAAGAAGGTAGCCGAAACAGTAAGCTTCTACTGGAAGGTTCCATTTTGATATCGGACCAGCGGGCTGCATTTCAGGGTTTCCATACTTCACACCCGTCTCGGCCTTTCGCGGAGTCTTGGGTGGATTCTCTATTGTTAACCGGCGCCTGGTAAGGTACGCTCTCATACTGTCGCAGAAACGTTGAAAGCCGATAGCGGTCAACCAGGATGTTCTCGTGCCAAACCCCAACTGCGTGCTCGCAATTCGTACGTCACATCGCTGCACCGGTACATGCCAGGGCAGTACAATCTTTCAGCCAACGCCTCTCGCCCATTCAATCCACCCGATGCTTTGTGAAATTCTACCCGCTTCATGTTCCTCCCGGGATGGAATGGATGTACTAGGCGGGTTGGGTTCTGCGCAGTGTCCGCCTTCACAGTCGCGGACAGGGCTGTGGCAACCTCGACGATACCAGAACGATAACAGTCGTCTCCAATGTCTAGGGGTCCTCACACGCGTGATGTTGTCATGTTAGAAAGAAACCTTACGCTCTGGTCAAGGCAGTTTATACCTGCGGCCATGCTGCCAATCGGCGCACCAGGCTGGGCTACCCTCCAAATCCGTCGCCCTTCTGAAGCGATCGCGACGCGCTGCCGCAGGATACCTACTGTTCCGGACTGGGTCATGAATGGCGCAGCCGCCGAAAGGTACAATACACATGGCATGGACAAAAGAGGCTCTGAATCTGTTGACTTGTTTCTGTCTCTGAATCTCCCTCGTCAACAGACGTGGCATACTCGCATCCCCAAACAGTTTTTTTCCATCTGGCTTCACAACTTCCACAGCATGCGCAGCATGGGGCTAGCAGGCTACGTCAGAACTTCTGTACGGCGTCCAATCGGCACGCAGAGCACCACCCGTCGCATCGCGCTAACGCACACGATCGGCCCAACATGCAGCGCCATCCTTGTCGCCATTGGTTTCCTCTCCTACGAAGTGCCAAACGATTCCAACAGATTCTTTTTATGAGTAACACCTGCAACACAGTTCTCGATGCGGCAAAACACCTGCAGACATGGACCTTACGGCGGCTCCAACCTTCAGTAACAACCTTCCCGCATACATGCATATGTAAGCCGAAGCTGTCGCCCCTTTGCTTTGCTGCTCTCTGTGGCTTACCAATCCGAACAGCCTGATGGAGCGGCTGACGCATGCTGACCAAGCAACCGCACTAAAGTGATGGCTGCGCACACAGCCTTGTGCAGTGCGTGCAACTAACCTCTTCTGCCACATACTAAGCTTCCAAGCCACCACCAGCCCGCGGTGTTTTAGGTGTCACGCTTGCGGCAGCTGCAGTCTCTTACCATACACAGAAGCGGAGACCCAATGTACAGCGGCAAACAGCCGTTTCGTGGCAATGTCAAGCAAAGAGCACAGAAATCAGTAGCCAAGCCACGCGAGGACGCGCAGCCGTGGTGGACTGTGGTGCGGCTGTGTTGAACACGTGCCCCAAACGCCAAACGCTGAGGCGCGCAGTTGGGGCGGTCCCGGGACACACGTGCGACACAAGCGGTCCGAAGTGGCCGATCAGTCAGATGAACGGATGCGGGAGAGTAACAACTGCAACTACCAAATAAAAACGAAACCCTACACGGCAAATACATGCAGTACATGGGACTGCGCGCTCGCTGAAATTCAGCAGCCACAGCCTACATTCGTCGTTCCGGAGTGTCAGAAAAAGCCTTAGGACTACGTGAAACACACGCCCTTGGTAAGCAGCGCCGTGACAGCACACTGGCGGTGGCAGCTGCGGCAGGAGCAGCAGCGGCGGTGATGACGGTGCCGGCAATGCAACTGAACTGGTAGCGATAACACCCTCAGCCCCCAGCCAAATCCCCCACACTTCTTTCCGACCGCAACCTCCACATTTCCTCATGTCCTGTACTACGGCCTCGTTGCTGTGCTGGCCCCGTTGCCAGCTCATCTCCGCAGAGGAACACAGTAGTGCTCGCACACACAACCAAACCCCCTTTTGCCAACCAGCCATGGCCATCAGCGCAACAAAGCTCATCAGCCAACACCGAAATCCTGCTCCAGCTCGATGCATGCAAGGGTTCAGCCGGGGCCGAGGGCTCCACGTAACGCTAGGCCCCACAGGGCCTCGGTGTACACCATTAGTACAAACACACGCACACCCACATGCGCTGTAGCACTCCCACTCCCCATCGCCACTGGCAACATGATCTCCGCCTGGCTTGCGTCCGGCTCCCGGGCTGAGTTGTCGCCCACATGCTCAAGGAAGGGCTGCCAGCATGTCCTCCGCGGACGAAACGGTGAAGGCGCCTCCCTCCTCCAAATGAAGAATCTGCCAGCGAAGAAGAGAATTGTGTCCAACACAGGACGACAGATATACGTGGAAGTCAACATGCCCATCAGAACAGATGAAAGAAACGCATGCTCTGGGATAGGTAGGCAGCGATAAGCAGATAGAGGGGAGTAAAAGTGGAGGATTGACATACGGTATGGTGCTTCCAACAGTACGCCCTAGGGGTACTAGGGCGGCTGAGGGAAAAGTGTAGCGAGGGCGCATACACCCATGTACCCATTTAGCGAGAAAATATTGCCATCACATAACCTTTGTGAAAGCACGCTGTTTGCTTCTCTTCGCGCTCTGACTGGGAGACGCTGCTTATTTGGGGTGTTGTTGTTACTCGGGAAGGCACGGAAGCACCCACCCACCTTCACGACTTGGTCATCCACAAACATGGAATACCGGCGCGACCGCGTGCCCAGGCCCTTGTCAATCAGGTCCAGCTCCACCCCAAGTGCCTTGGTGAACTGGCCGTTGCCATCCGCCAGCATCAGGACCTTGTCGCCCGCCTTGAGGTCCTTGCCCCACGCCGCCATAACGAACGCGTCGTTGACGGACACGCAAGCAATCGTATCAACGCCCTGCACCATAATAAGGGCGAGATAATGGCGCACATGGTCGTCATCAACTCATGCCTTGCATGTGCCCGGGTGCGGGGGAGGTTGAAAGCAGGCCGCGGAGCCAATCTTCGCATCAGTCTTCCGGCTCGGCTGTATAACCATGTGCGGTTGGGCGAGTGTGAGATGGCAAAACCAGGGGGGCATTCCTTCTTCCACGCCGGGGCCCCATGCGCGAAGGGTAGGCCGAGGGAAATACGTGGTGCTGCGTTTCTTGTGGTGCCGTTGCTCGCAAGTGCTTTTTAATAGTATCCGATTGTTTAATCCAACATTAAGCATGTAGCGTGCAAGGTCTCAGCAAAGTACCCGGTGCGGGGTTTATTTGCTGATGTAGCCAAGCAGTCGGTGCCTGCCAGGCCGTCGCCGTGTTTTTGCATCTGGGTCTTAAGGATATCCCCACTCCCATTCCGTCAGCTCCACCCGCCCAAAGAGTTGAGGTACGGAGTTTCGCGTAATCAATTATCCGTTCCTGCCACGCATGCACGAGTGCGTTTTTGAGAATGTTTCGCACAGTACCCTGCACCTACCTTGTTCTTCAGCTCGTCTGCCTTGTCGACAAAGCCTGGCACGTGCTTCAGAGAGCAGGTGGGCGTGAAGGCGCCGGGCACTGCGAACAGCACCACCTTCTTGCCTTTACAGAGCTCCTCCGTTGTAACGTCGCGCATCTGGCCCTCGCCATCAAAGTACCTGAGGGTTACAGATGGTAGATGCCACAGCGCGGCCAGGAATTTTGCAATTTTGACCCATATCAAATTCGCTGACGGCGACTTGGATAAACGGTTATGAAAAATGTTTATGAAGGAAAGGAAGTTCCGGTATGTGGATATGACGGTAAGGGGTTAATTGGGGGGCAATGAGGCTGCCGAAGCTGGATAAATCCAACCGGCGCCGTGCATATCATGCTGCTGTAAACTCGTGAATTCTCGCCAGGACCTCGAAGCTTTATGGCCGTGAGAACATACGCCGCACACAGATCCCCGAGGGGCTTCCGCGTGTAGCATACATAGGGGTCCGGCAATCATGGAGGCGACGGGAGGCGACGGGCTTGTCCTAAGTCAACCTGCTGGTCCTATGGCGTGCTGGGGGTGTTGTGTGTATGGACCAAACAGGCAGGCACAACGGATGTGCAGGGCATGACACGCACTAACGCCTATCAGATATGCAGGAGGTCTGTATGGGGTATATCAATACTGCTTGCGGGGCAGCATTGGATTGGCTTCCTAGGAGAGACCGAGGCGCACATAATAGACACACAGAAGCCTCGCTAACCGTACACAACCCACTTGAACTTCGCATCTGGAAGTTTCTGTCCAACTGCAATAGCTTGCGGGGCAATCATCGCACGGCCTGGACTCGCAGTGCAGAAGCGAATAGCCGCCTGACGAGCGCGCTTGACCGCGAGCCTACACATGCAAAATGGAGCATGAATCAGAACTTAATGAACGAGGTTTTGCCCAAGGCAGCGGTTCTGCTTTCAGATTGGGCAGACTGCAACGTTAAGCCAGCCTTGTGATGATGGTAGGATTCTGGCCCCAAGCCCAAAAGTTCTAGGTGATGCGAGTAAGCACAGCAATTTACGCATGGCGATCTTAGACTCGACGCTGCAGCAACAGCGGCTGTGGAATCCTCCGAGGGTTCACCGCTAGGTGATGGCCTGGGGTATAACAATCGGTCCAAGTGTTCATCGAGCGCCATCAACTCCCTAGGACCCACCTCGATTGTTGTCTGCAAATGTTCGCCAGCATGCTGCGGGTTACGCTGATGCGCGGAAGGCTCGTGAGGTGTTGCTCAGGCACCCCTAGTTCAACAACAAGAAGTTAGGATTAAAGAAACTATAACAATTAATCTATTCTGAGTATGTGTTGTCGGACGTGATTGTCCGGCACAATGCAGACGGCCGATTCCTGACACCCTTCATCGCGATGACCACCTTTGCAATATTGGCTCTGAAAGTGTATAAAGCTCCGAATTGTTTTAACAACAAATTATTAACTTGCAATGGTTACTAAAGATACGCCATGCGAGAAATGAAAGGGTAGTCTTTCGGCGAAAGTTTGAAATAGGACAAGAAGGCATCGTAACGTAAGCCGTAACACCGTGATAAAGGCGACATGCAAGCTCTTTTACCACTTCATCTAGTGACAGTTGGCGTAGGTATCGCGTGGGTGGTAAGACTGGCAGTCAACTCTACCCCTAAGCCAAAGGGAGCCAGCGAGCCCAGAGAGGCACCTGCAGATGTCTCTGGGGATGCAGATCTAGAAAGGAGCGCAACGCAGTGGCTTGCTCGCACCGGCGTTGAGCGCAGCGTTTCGCTGTCGCCTCGCATCGCGGAGCACAATGCAACGCGGACGTCTTCTTATGCTGAACTGGAGCTCTTGTCTGAAGGAGACTTTGTTTATCTCCGGTCTGGGGCCAGCGTGCTTACAGCGCTGGTGCCCACGGTTCGGCAGTTGACCTTGCAGCCACTCCAACTCTTGAAGGGGAAGCCCGGTGGGTTGGAGCTGTATAGGCCATGTGTAAGATATGGGGGAGCCTTCCTTATGCTCATTCGTAGATATGCGTTTTTTTTGTGTGAGCGTTAGTACCTTTCCGTGCAGCGTGTCCCGGAGGCGTTGAACGTTACATGTCGAGCACTCCGGCTTGGCTTGCTGAACACGTGCAGATGGGTGTGGACAATATGCTCCTTCCGGCCCAACCTTGGATAGAGGGAGACGTGTATGCAAATTTGCTGCTAAAATTGGCAGCCACACCGTGCTGCGCCCAGGCAACTGCCCGCCTTACGCTTAAAAATAACTTGTATGGTCATGCCCTGCCTCCACACCTTGGAATTCTCTAAACAGACGCCGTGCCCACGGCTCCCTTGGAGGCCATCAGCGTGTGGCTGGTGCGCCGCCGTAAGCAGGAGGTCGTGTTCGAGTTGCTCGGGTAAGTTGGACGCAAAGCACGGGCTTCACATGCTGCCAGGGAGCAGGGTCAGCTGTGGGAGTATTTATTGCAGACGGCCTGCTTCCTCGCTGTAGTACCCTCCGTGTATTATCCCTTTGAGCTGGACATACCTAGGGACTGGAGAGAGGCATGCATGTCACAGCTCATGTGGGAGTCACGTTAAGGCAGGGTCAGATGTTATGGTCCAACTGGCGGGTCAGCTATGCCATACAAACAACTTGATTCAGGCTTGAATGTGTTCGGGCTGCATTCTGCTAAAGCTATGGGTCCTTGTGATCGCGTCGCAGGGTTTTGCTGCGCCTGCGTTGCCGAGGGAACCCACGCTACGACAGCTCTGCCTGTGCCACAACTGGTTGCACACGTTCCCACAGCCAATGCGCCGTACATCTTTTTGCTTTCCTGACCCCACCACCGATATATTCCCTGTATCAAATTCCACTAGTAGAGTTCAGTCCACGACCGCGATGTTTCTTGCTCGTCCCCTGATCCCACTCGTAGACCACGCAATCGGCGCCACATCCTAGAGGCCGATCTCAGGGCACCGCATGGCGTGGCGCTTTCCAGCGGAACCCCGGGCAAGAGCGGCCTATGGCACATCACGGCGCAGGGACTGGCGAGCGTCAGGTGGCCCTCACATGTACGTTAGGTCGAGGAAGGGAGCGTAGGAAAACACGCCGTAGGGAGTTGAAAAGGGTGAACAGACGAGGGACACACAAGCAAGCAGAGCGCAGCCCACTGGGCGAGCTCGTTGCAGGGATTCTCGTTGTCTGGGATGCTTGTCCGAATACAAGAAGTTTCAGGCAACGAGTGGCTATAGTTTAAACAGAGCCAGGAAATCTCGAGTATGATCCTGGGTTTGTGCCGGTTTTGTCAGGCTGGCGTCTAGCAGGTATAATGATAGAGACATAGGATGCCGATGGATCCCTTGCAGAATCCCTTTCTAGCTTGCTATTATGTTTGCGGGACATGCTACATGCGCTGTTCTTGTAAAAAAACCCTAAGTCGCAGTCGCCCATTGACCTGTGCATTTCGTCGATAGTGTACGATAATCGTTTGCATCATACTTTCTATCTTCGGTGAACCTCCAGGTCCTTCCGCTGCGAGTTGTGACCGTGCAGCTGTTCGATAGCCGCACCATGAAGTCCATTAAGGATGGACTGGGACATAAGCTGGTGGACATCGGGGCGAAGGTGCGAGTAGCCGTGGCCTAGTTACCACCTGAAGTTGACAACGGTTGTCAACAGATGCGGAGGGGAAACTCGTTTGGCGCGCTGTGCTACCTATCTTTTCGGCATTTCCACTTCGGCCTAGGTGCTTTATTCATCAATACCCGACAGCGTGGAAATTATAATTTCATCCCTGTGTCCTCTTCGTTAAAGCCCCGATTGGGCTGGTTGACATGCCTCATCTTTTGCTGGCGGTCCACAGTTGCGCCAGGAGGAGCTTGAGCGGTTGCAAGCGGAGAAGGAGAGGGCGAGGATGGAGACGGAGTTGAAGCGCGTGCGGAACGATGCAGCATCGCAGGTACGGCGGCGGCCTATAAAGACCACACCGTGCGTTCTGGGCCCGTATCGTAGGTGTGGGGAGTGGCTGACTAAGGATATATTCTGCATCATTTCAAAACAGTTTAAACGTGCGCTTTCCTGGGTGCAATCATGGCCCGTTCCCGTCTGGGCTCTTCGCACCTAGACGGGGTCCTTATTCTTCCTGGCTGCCCTGTCCTCCTTTACTTGCCTTGATTTTGCCATCTTCAATCTTAACTCGTGACGACCAGATTGCCGAGCTCCGCGCGCAGCTGGACGCGGCTGTCAGTGCGCGGCAGTCAGCAGAGCGTGAGGTGGCAGCTCTGAAGAGCCAAAGGGCCGACGATGGCGTCCGGACCAAGGTGCGCGCTCCGGGTTGTACCTTGCAGCGTCGCCTATCCATAAAGTTATGTCTAATTAGATTGGGGATTGTGCCGGAGGGTGCGGCTGACCCACTTCACGGCTCTGATTTTCTGGGGCTGGAGAGAACGGGGCAAGTCAGGGCGCGTGTAGAACGCGTCTTTACGGCGGTCTCCTTCCAGCGACGACGGCCCATGGCTGGTAGTTGCATGTCAGCCATCGCGCGATGCAGAATTGTTGTCTTGCAGTCTGGCATGGCATGACACCCGCATGCCTGTCGGGTAGGCTTGATGTATTCACTCAATCGCTTGACGAGATTCCTTATCCCGTTGGTTCGTTCACAATCGGTGGCGGTGCCGACCGGCCATCAGATGGCTCTGGCGAGGGCATCTCTGGCGGAGTCTGCAGCGGAACAGGCGGAGGCGACAGTGCGGCGACAGCAGCAGCAGATCCAGGGCATGTTGGCGGGACATGCGGAGTAAGTGAATTGCGGGTTTGTGGAACTGGGCCACAAATTGGCACATCCGCTGTATCTACAGGATCCGGGAATTGGGGCAGTGACTTACATCCCACGCCATTTCTCAGTCCTTCAGGAGCGCACGTGTTTTTTCGATTCTTGTGCTCGCTGTCCCTATGGTGAAGCCCTCTGCCCTCGGTGAGGCAATGCTTGCAAGCCGTTAGGTACTCATGTTCTCACTCTCTAGCTTGCCGCCCTCCCTCTTTCCCTCCCTACCAGGGAGCTGCGCACTCTGCAGCATGAGCTGCAAATCGCGCGGGATGCCAATGGGTCTCTCAACCGAGCCATGCGCGAGCAGGTCCGGCCGGAGGGAGGATGTGGGGCCCATGAAGTGGGCCATGAGGAGGAGCAGGGTGCATGGAAGCAATCGGGGATCCTGACATGGTTTAGCATATCCTGAATTAGGACTAGGGGCGTGTCCCTGTGTTGGCGTGCACGGGAGGACTTCCTCTGGGTCGTCCTGCGTGATGGTTCTGGTTTCTAGGTTTATTCACGCCAAGATCATGAATGTCGGGGGGCCGGAGGGCCGGGGGGCATGGTGGACGTGAAATTCATTCACCGAAGCCTCTGCACTCTCACCAACGCTTGCACAGAAGAGCTACGTTCAGCTGTAGTCCCATGCAATCAGGATTACAGGCGTGGGCGCGGCTCAGCTGTGTATTATTCGTACTGCCTCGCGTGTATCCCAACCTGATGCACCCATCTTGCCGGCAAATCACGCCCGTACGGGTACATGTGCGCCGCTCGCATTGGCGCAGATTCTGTCGCTCCAGGGTGCCCTAGAGCTGCGAGACGCAAGGATCTTGGAGCTGGAGGAGGAGAATGACCGAATGGACACCGTGTTGCAGGCAAGTTTGCGTGTCGCGTGTCACTATCCACGTACGAAGGGAAACGTTGCTGCTTTGCTGTCCGTACTATTGGACTTTGGATCTGGGCTCAGTTTTGCGTCTAGGCCCCTTATTGCTGAGACCTTGAGCTGCCTCGCTTAACCGCCCTACTGGGGCGATAAGGACCCACATATGAAGTTTACCTGTAATCTACGTGTATCGCGCACGGCACATGCGCTGACGTAACCACAGCCTGCGTTGCACCGTTAAAGCTATGGCACGGACGACACTGAAAGCAACGTAGCGCCGTAAGGTTGAAGTCTGTCGCTTTGCTGCGCAGGTCATTCAGGCGCAGTTGGGCGTCAGGGGTCTGGCATTCCCACGGCCGGAGCAGTGCGGGAGCAGTGCGGGCGGCGCTCCCACTCCGCAGCACCTCGGTGGTGGTGGTGCGGCGGCACCCGCACCGGCACCGCCGCCGCCACCGCCTGCCCTGCAACAGGTGGGCGGGGACACGGCGGGCGCGGCAGCTGACGTCGCGGGCTCGCGCGGGTCAAATGAGGAAGTGAGTCTGTCGTCGATTGTTGGAACCGTCAAGACGCAGCCACAGCAGCCACAGCCTCCGGGCCCTCCGGTGGCGGAAGAGCCGCCGCTGTGGAGGTCGCTGCTGGACTTGACGGGCGATCTAAGCGTCACAGCTCTCAAGGTATGGGGTCAGTGCTGATGCAGAGCCGTATGGGGAGGGTGATGGTCTGATGGGAACATACTACTAATGCGAGGACACGCGGCATTGGCGAGGGAAGGATGATTGGAGACAATGGTAGAGTGGGTTGAACAATGCTGCATGACACAGGCGGGAGTTGGAGTGCAGAGCCGTTTGCGGAACCAGTTATGCCGTGCCGGCGATGTTCCACGGGCGGCGTTGGACGGTGTGGCTCAGGGAGTGTCTCGTCTTTTGATGTGGCTTTTTGACGTGGCATGGGTCTCACCGGTGTTCTTGGCCTGCAGGAGAGTCTGGCAATGAGCCGGCGAAATACCAAGGATGACGGTCCCTCACCTGCATTGGCGACCCTAGCTTGGTCAGCGGTGCAGCGGCGGCAGTCCCGGCCCCAGCCCCAGCTTACCGACGAGGAACTACTGCAAGGCGCCTTGCTGCCTACACCAGGCAACGGAGTATCCTGTGTGGCAGGAACGCTGCAGACATGCGGCGTTGTACCATCCGTCCCTACGCGCCGAAACAGCAGTGTTGGCAGCACAGCTGGTGAGACGAAGCCCGCCGCCGCGGGACACTGGGGCAGTGGCGGCGGCTGCGATGGCGTCGGGAGCAGGGACATGGGTGCTGCAGACGAGGACGGGTTTATTAGCGCTGCGGTGCGGATGTCGCCCCAGCTAAAACTGGCCGTCGGCGGTGGCGGCAGCGGTAGCTCCACAGCGACACCGCTGCGAGGGCAGCAGCCGCAGGTGCCGGGGGCGGCCGCCGGCGGCGTGGGGTTCCCTAGCGCCGCGCAAACGGATGCAGCTGGGGCGGGTCCCGATGCGGTGGCGCCGCGTGGCACTCCTGGGGGTAAGGTTTGCACCCGATAGGATATATGCCCACCTGGGGCACTACTTATGGCGTACAGACTACTTGGACAGGGTTGTCTTCTTACAGTGGTGAGGCATGCCGCAATTTTGAAACTTGGATGGTTTCCCCAGCCGGAAAGTACAGGAGGTTTTCCTTCGGCTCAGATCACTACCGCTCTATGTTGGCGCGCTTTGGCGATTCTGTCAGGCATTTTCGAGTTTGCCAAAGCTTCGTTGGTTGCTTGTCCCGTACTTTATGATTGGCTATTTTCGCTTTTGATCGTGTGTCCCTCACGTTTGCATTCCGTAATGGCCTCTCAGATTTGAAGGACGACGGTGCAACTGTCGCTGGCAGCGCTGCAGCAGAAGCAGCACATACACCGCCCCAAGGGACAGCGCCCGCCAATGGCAGTGCAGGTGCAGGCACCGCCGGCGCGGCCCCAGGGCACAGCCCAGCCCTGCTCGAGTACGGCATGGAAGCTACGTTGACGTTGGATTCCCTGCGGCGGCGCATGCGCCAGCTCGATGCAGAGCGGGAGCGGCTAGAGCTGCTCCGGGTCAGCTTGGTGGAGTCATTGCCTTGGCGCGCCGGCAGCGGCGCCACCCCTGGAGGAGAACGTGGGGGTAGTGATGGTGGTGCTATCGGCCTCGGCATCGGTGGGGCAAACCGTATGCTCTTTTTCTCTGAGCGCCCCAGTGGCGGCGGCGGCGGCGCCGCAGCCTTGATTGGCCGTGAGGGCCAGAAGATAGACGGTCAGAGGCAAGCTTTCGGGCAGCTGGAATCTGGCAATCAGCGCACGCAAGCAGATCTGCAAGGACAGCCAGCTGGGCACTCACCACAGCGTAGAAGCGGCGGGCAGCTAGGGTCAAGGTCGGGGGCAGCTGTATTGCTTGAGCAAGTAGAAGGGGTTCAGGCGTGCCTGAAACAGCAGCATCAATCTACACTTGAGAGGCTGAGGGAATCGCCGTGGAGAGGGCAGAAGGAAGCGCAGATGCATCAGGCACATAATCCGGCAGCGCCGCATGTTCAGTGCGCGGGGTCCGGCCCTGACTGCTTTAGCCGTGAAGCCTGTGCTGCAGGCAACGTCGTGGTGGTGGGACAACAGCAGCAGCGAGCCAAGTTTGATGGCAGTACCGTCGGAAGAAGCCTGGTCCAGCCCGCTCGGTGAGCGATGGTTGTGGGAAATGGACTGCCTTTACATGCGCGAGAACTTATGCGTGAGCGAAGAGATGAAGCTAAGGTTTATCATTGGTTATACCGTGTTAAGCAGATTTTCAGCTTATTAGGATACGAGCTCGAAAGATGTCAGCCTCGGGAATTGGTTGTGCCTCATGCAAAAAGCCGAAGCTGAAGACACTTTTAGAGCCGCCTCTCGCCTACCGCGAAGTGTCTGTTTTCTTGTTATCCTTTGTATCACCGCGCAGGTTGTCCAGCGCTGGTCTCGGCGCGGCTGCGTATGCTATCAGCAGCCCATCCCGGCCCCCGGCGATCCCAATCCTACCTACCGCCCTATCACCGGCCAGCCGCAATTACTGCCTCCCGGAGCAGCTGCGCCACGGCAGCGGAATCGGAGCCGAGGCTCCCCCTCAAGCACTTTCCACCCATGCGGCCGACACCGGGCTACTTGAAGGTGGCGCACAAGCGGGCTCGGGCTCTTGCTCATCCTTGGAAGGTGCCGCGGCCGCAAATGGACCAGACGGAGAGGACAGCCTAAGCTCTAGCTGTTGCAGCAGCGACGGCCACAGCCGCATCAGCATGACGAGCCGGCGCGTGGACACATCGGACGTTGGCTGCATGCGAGCCACGGTCTCGGCCGAGGAGCTGTTCACCACGATGGAGCACGACCAAGCCAAGAGCGGCATCAATGCTGCCTCTGTCGGTCTGCATGGCCAAAGTGCTTTGGACGCGCCGGTTTCGGGGCCATGGAATGGACCAAACGCAAATGGCGGAGATACTCGGGGCGCGGTGGTACTGACTGAAATGTCGTCCCTGGCGGTGTCCGCGAGCGCGCCTAATGTGCCCGAGTTGCAAGCTGAAGGCTATAATCCCCCGAATAGGGATATGCTATATGGTTTGTACGACAGCATTGACGGCCTTTGTAACCTGGGCTCCACGCGGGCGATGCCCACTGCCCGTGGTGCGGCTGGCTTAATGACTGCGCGCCGCGTGGGGGTTAGCCAGCTACCGTCAGCTGCCGGCGACGTGCCGCTGCAGCAGGCGCCTCCGGTGGCATCGCCGCCGCAAGAGGCCGTTGCATGCAGCCCTAGACGGCTGATTGGCACGCAGGGTCAGCAGGGCGCCACCGCGACAGCCGCAGCGGCCCGCACGCCTCCTGAGGCGGCCGCACGCGTGGCGACTCCTAAGAGTTGCGCCAGCACCACAGGTGCTGGCGACATGAGCGCGGATGACGACGGTCTTGTACTATGTGACGAACAGGTTCCGTCGCCGCCGCCGGCGATGCTGCTGGGACCCCTTGACCAGTTGCGTAGTGCCGGGGCGGTGACGACAGGTGGCGTGGATGGGGGAATCAGTCGAATGGGTGGCCGCTTGCTCTCGGCGCTGGAAGAGGAGGATGATGACGAGTAAGAGGAGAGCGGTGGGGAGGGGCTTTGCTGGCATGAGCATAGCTCTGGCGATTTGAGCGACGTGAGTAGCAAGAGACGTAGAAGTGCCGGAAGACATATTAGACCATGTTCTTAGTCGGGGCGTTGGGTTACATAAGCAGACCTGTCATGCCACTTGATCTGCGTGCGTGTGTTGCCCTCCAGATGTCTGAAATTGCATTTGTGTCGAGTGTAACCTGCAGCAGTTTTGGCGTAATGCTGCCGTTGCCTTCATACGATGATTCTGACCTCTTTGGAGCCAAAGTTCACAGTCGTGGTGAGTGGTCATGCCTGTGCATGCCGTATTTTTATTTTTCCGTAGCGTGACCAAACAGTGAACCACTAACACTGACCCCGAGGATGTCTAGGTTGTGTTTGACTGTAGCCGTTAGTGCCGTAGCTCGGACCTGTGTCAAATGGTAGGCTTGAGTAGGCTAATTTGGATGAGGCTAGTCCTAAACCATTTAAGCTAGGAATGTCGGGGTTTTTAAGTCCGTTCGTCAGGGCGTATTACCAGGCCCGGTGTTTTTTTTGTGCTATGCGTAATGTAGTAAACAAGTGCATGGAAACTATGATGATTATTTAGATCGATATTCAGCGGTAAGGTGCTTCTCCTATGTCGTCCTGTGCTGAGCAGAATATTGTGGAAGCTCGATCAGTGTGATAGAAGTTTTGAGGCGATTGGCTTTGCGTTGGAACGTGGGCAGTCCAGGCGCTCTGCCGCTGGGCAGACCAGGCGTCCTGATTTCGGAAAGAAGAAAAAATGCATGTGTACGTAACATGTATATACATGTAAGGGACCATAAAGGGTATTACAGTGAAAAGCACCATTTGTCGGTACCTAAGCAGATCAGGATTAAAAACACATGCTTAACGGGAATTGCAGTATCGATGTTCGCTCAAGCACGAACCCAGCGTCACCGGACAAAGCCCCCGGGGCACGCTGTCTAATTCAAGGGGCGGCCAAAGAAGCATGACACGACCAGTGCAGCCGTATCATCTGAGCTAAGTCGTCGATATGCATACCGTCAAAGACCCTCATAGGCGAGCAGCACGAGCGCTAATGTGCTTGACGACAGAAGGTCGACTTGCACCGACACACTTCCGGCAGTCAAGGGCTGCGCCACCGATTAGCACTATTTCTTCGTTTCAAAATTACAGGCGTACAGGCGTAAATAGCATGGCCATATATGCGCATACAACTATCAAAATGCAGCAAGTACTGCAAGCTGTCATCAAATGACAAACTGGCATCGCGCGAAAAACACATCCGATACAGCGACAGACACAGATACGACCCCGCACATCATGAAAAAGGTGTCGTGTCACGTGATAGGCATGTCACGTTCTGTCCTTCCCATCGCACGCGTCTTATACCGGCAAACACACTCCGCCGGTAGCTTTCACAAAACGGTCAGCGGCACACCCACATGGTCGTATCGCACATGTATTGCTTGTAAGAATAACTTTACAGGTAATGAATGGTACAAGAACAAGTGTTTTTACCTATAAATCCACGCCCATTGCAAAAACAGCTACGAGCCACGAGGACACTAGGAGTTGAACCTCGGGTCGTTGAACCTCGCCTCCTGCTGCCCGATGGAAGTCGTGGAGCTGGTGAACGACTGTCCACCTTGTGCGCAGCCTGCTCATGGAAAGCTAATTAAGCCGCGGCCGGCTTGGCTATGACCTGCAGCGCCTGCGCCCGCTTTGCCTTGAGCAGCAGGAAAGTAGTCCAGATGAAGGCCACTACATTAATGAACAACACGCGGAACTGCAGCGGGACGAAGCGGTAGTTGATTAAAGCCGCAAGGGGCCAGAGTCGCCACCCGTTCAGCTGCACGCCGGGGTAATCCTTCGCAATCTTTTGTCTGACGAAGCTGAAAGGCTTGCCCTCCAGCACCAGCGTAGCAAAGGACATGAACAGGACTGCAGTTGCAGGCATTTGTGCGAGCATTGAGTCAGTAGGGTTCGTTTCATGCGACGCGCAGGCAAACCCGCCAATCTCAGTTGCGAAACAGCCGCTCGGCCACCGAGCCCATGCGTCAGCCTTGGACACATAGTACAGAAGGAAAGCTGCTCACCGTTACATACGGGCCCATACGTGAGTTGATCCACAAGCACCTTCTGCAACACGGTTTTGAAGTCCTTCCTGCCAGAGAACAATTGCTCCATAAATTTTTGCCAATAGTGCGCTGATGGGCCCGTGTAGAGAGCGCCGAAGCATGCGACTGCCAAGGTGCGCTTAACGCTCTTGTAGTGGCCCGAAATTATGAGTTGGGCCACCACGTCGCTCAGTCCCGCCACGCAGGCAGATGTTATACATTTTGTCCGTAGCGGACGTGTCTTAAGCTCCTCGATGTAACTCTTCCAGCAAACCACGAGAAGCCCTCCATTTGGTTTCCTGTTAATCTTTCCATCAGCAACAATCGTTTCAGCAGAGGTGGCCCGGTTGTCCTCCATTTCCAACTTCTCTACCACAACATCGATTGAGAGACAAGACACACAAGCTATGGAGTTGCGTTGTCATGTGATGTTTGAGCTCCGCGACCATACGTACAACGGACTAACCGAAAGAGCCTGCTGCATGGGTCCGCTGTAAGAAATCGCATTCTGCATGGTCCGTCCGAAGCAGAGAGTTCTAAATATTTTGTGCATTGCTTGAGTTCTCGCTTCCGGTTGTTACTGCTAAACTCACTGCAAGCCTTTCCTAATAAGCTGTATGCGGTGCCTAGCATACACGTGATCTCATAATTGGGCTTACACGAAAGTCGACAGGATATGATTCCTAAGAACTCCTTCCTTAAGATTGTTGACAACTCAGGTGCTCGACTCGCCCAGGTCATTGGCTTCTATGGGCAACAAGGCAGTTATGCAAGCATAGGCGACGTCGTAAAAGTTGTTGTTAAAGAGGCTCGTGGGGAGAAGGTCGAGGCAGGGACGATGCGGAAGGCCGTTATCGTGGAACAGAAGTACCCGTTCCATCGTAAGAACGGAAGTCACATCCAATATCTTCGCAACGCCGCGGTTCTCCTAAGTGAGAAAGGCCAGCCTATTGGTAATCGTGTGAAGTCATTACTCAGCCCGGAGTTCAGCAAGCCAAGATGGGCCAAGCTGCGGTCGTTATCCAAGCGCTTGTTCTAGGCTGGCAGCCTGGCGGCAGAGGCGAGCACGGAGGTAAGATATCTCCAACTCCATGGATTCGGCTTTGGGATCGACTTATGCCCTGAGATCAGCGCTGTTCAGTGGGTCGGCACCCCCGATACATGCCGTGCAGTAAGCGACCCGCCTTGGCAGCCTTGTTTCCTGTTTCCCAAACCACGACTTACAACGCCAGGATAATGCGTCCCTTATATTGCTGAGGCTAGCGCTTAAAGCCAACCATGTCCCTACATACGCGATTCCGTACGTTACCCTTAACCGTCACCTGACTCGTCCCTTATGCCTGCGCGCGCCTGATGGGGCTACAACCGCGCCGTTCCGCAGCATTACGCCGCCACCGCAGCAGCCCAAGAGGAGGCCCTCGGGTACTTGAGGGCAGATGCGGATGGGAACGAAACAAGAAGCACCTTCGTGTTGGCCAGGATGGAGAGCCGCAGGAGTGACGGTCTCTTGCATGTGTGTGTGTGTGTGTGTGTGTGTGTGTGTGTGTCATCTAGCAGCGTTTGGGGTACGTAACCTGGCGCAGGTGGAGTCCCATGCCTGAACTTCATGGCTGGAGGCTGCTGCTACTGCTGCTACTGGTACCTGGGAGGTAATGCGGCCGTCACCCCTCTATGGCCGGAGGGTATGGTAGGAGAGACCATATAGCCCCAGAGCATGGTAAGCATAGGCGGCCCCAAGCCCTGCCGATATACCATTCGACAGGTCCATGGTTGGGCAGGCATACGGATGGATGATGAATGGAACGGATGGGGCTGGAGCAATGGATGGATGGATCCTGGCTTGGGAGGGAGGGAGGGATGGATCCGGGCTTGTGACTGCGGACACATTCCTAAGAGAGTGTCGCTCCGGCCATTTCGCAATCCGGACATGCTTGCTCGTGCCACCGAGGCAAAGGCGAGAGTCTCTGGCCCCGCACAGGGTTTTGAGTTGGGGCTTCACAGTCCAGCACAAGGCTAAGGGCGCTTGTGAACGGCAATCGAAGCCCGCGCGGGCTCGGTTCAGTGGTTGACATTACACACGTTGATAGTACACGGAGGATCGAATGCAAACATCCGGATTATATTAAACATTGCATGAGGAGCTATGAGGAGCTGTTGCGGCTCCCCATGAGCCACCCTGGAGCCCCGCTGACGGTGCCCCGGTTGCGAAGGGTAGTCGTAAGTGGTTGTGTGTATGACCGGCTTGGAACTCAGGAAGTGTATTTCTCCGTGACCTGTGAGGACGCCGTAACCTTTGGTAACCTGTAGTAGGGTCGCAGTGGTTTGTCACGAAGGGAAGCTCGAACGGCGTGGCAACGGTCCAGGGGTCCAGGGCGCTCTGGAAGGGTCCTACAAGTCCCTGCTTGGTTCAGCGTGCAATCAAGATACATTTGACTATGTGGGTTGTTACCACGTGTATTTATCTGCACATGGCTTTGCAGTGTGCAGGTATGCTGTTAAGACTGAGCTGAACTTGCTTCAACCGAAGCAAGTGCAGCCCTTAGGCCCATTAACCACACAGCCATACCCTCTGTCTTGGCTAAGCCTAAGCCTACATAACTGCCTGGATTTGCGTGCGGTTATGCGTTGCGCATTCAAACAGCCTTCCCCGCGCATCTTCCCGTCCGCTATGTCCTCAGAACCCCATCCCAAAATGCAAGAAACACAATTAATTAATAGGTAACGGTGATTTCAAATGGGATTATCAATTGCAGAACGCGGCATCCGGAGTTCAGTAAGTGAACCCAAAGTTTGGGTAGTCGATGCCAGCGTCTTCACTCAAAGGCGTGATTACTTAGGATGGAAAAGACTGAATTTGTAGCCTATGCGGAATGTTACGACGATGTGTCTCTGTCTCTTTTAGTTCACCTGTCTTTCGTAAACCATTATATTTTACATTGAATCCAAAGCAATAAGATTATAATTGTTATGCCACACTCAAGTGGTACTCTAGTCCATGATAACTCACGGCCCATGCATCGATACACGATGAAGAAACTCGTTACTCGTTGCGTACGACAACGTGCGGCGGGAGTCGACCCATCCTACTGCACGTAAACCTAATCGAGGCATTTGAAGCTCATTTGATATTTATATGCGCTGCATAGCCTGGACTATGTACTGCGTCATAACGGCTTGACTCTCAGCTGTCCCATCCAGCCCCGATACCTTACTAATTTTCCGGGACATGTTGCAAATTGGCATTGGAGAAAGACCCATGCGGGCGCAGACAGCGCATTCGGCAGCCTCGCTCAGCTCGAGAGTGCCGGTAGCTTGCATCTCCGCATGCCGACTGTATACGCAGGCTCCCAACGGGACGACGTCAGCTCGGCCTAGCATCGCATTGCCCAGCAACCTTGGGCAACACACATCATCCTCGCTTGCACCCCACTCTCCACCTCCTTGCTCGCGCCAAGTCTCAGCGGCAGCACAGCATGGCTCCCTGCCGGAATACACCCTCGAACCCAAGCCACCCGCACGCCTGGCCGTCTTCGTCTCCGGCGGCGGTTCCAACTTCAAGGCCATCCACGCCGCCTGCCTCGATGGCCGCATCAACGGCCGGGTCGTTGCCGTCGTGAGCGACGTCCCGAGCTGCGGCGGCGTCAACTACGCGCGCGAGCACGGCATCCCCACGGTCACCTATCCCATCGTCAAAAAGGGCGAGTTCCTGGGCCAGGGCCTCACTGCGGAGCAACTCGTGGAGGCCCTGAAGACCGCACACCAGGTACGGCCCTTTCCGCGTGTGGTCTCTCTCCGGGATGTGGGCGTGTGGGTATGCTCCGGATTTGTGTGCTCTTAGCAAGGGCATGACAACGGAAAGATCATTAAGGGGACGCCGAAGGTAAATCCTCCGTCTAGAAGCCCCCCTTCCCGCCGTCCCTCGGATGGAACAGGGGAAAGCAATGCACACTTATCTATACATTATGGCGCTATAAAAATGCAAGCGCAAATGAAGAGATAAACTTCATGTCCGCTATCGTTTAAGCTTCTTGGCTTTACTAAACCTTTAAACGAGCGACGAAAGAGACCAATAAACAGGAGTCTTGTTTTCACCTCGCCAGGCGGATTTCGTGCTGCTGGCGGGCTATCTCAAGCTCATACCGGGGGAGCTCTGCCGCGCCTTCCCTCGCGCCATGCTCAACATCCACCCCGGCCTGCTGCCGTCCTTTGGCGGCAAGGGCTACTACGGCGAGCGGGTGCACAAAGCCGTCATCGCGTCCGGGGCGCGGTTCTCCGGCCCCACCGTCCATTTCGTGGACGAGCAATTCGACACCGGACCCATCCTAGCGCAACGTGTGGTGCCTGTGTTCCCCACCGACACACCGAAGCAGCTGGCGGCCCGCGTCCTGAAGGAGGAGCACCAGGTCTACCCCGTCTGCGTGGCGGCCCTGTGTGACGGGCGGATCGGCTGGCGGGAAGACGGCATACCAATACTGTGGGAGGCCAAGTAGGTGCCGAGGTTAGGGGGCCCTGCACAGTGCCGAGCAGGAGCAGGAGGAGGAGCAGGAGGAGCAGGGCAGTACCTGAACACCGGGGAGTGCCAGGGGAGCAGGGGGGAAGCAGGGGGGAGCAGGGGGGGAGCAGGGGGGAGCAGGGGGGAAGCAGGTGATGAGTCCTCAAGACGCGGTGTGCGGGGGCGAGGCGGAGCCTGACTTGGGTTCCTGTGTGCAGTCAGGTTGATCTTCCCAATCCAGGAGCTGCAACCCAATGCAACCCAAGCGGGCAGCGTGGTGCCAACGTGGTGACCGGGGCGGCGGTGGCTGCCTGCGAAAGGGCATTGCTTCACGTAACGCCCGTTGTGGATCTGGTTGGTCGTACTGGGAGTGGTTGTAGAGAGATGCTTTATTGGGAGATACAGGCTGCTGGGGAGATGTGATGAGCTGGCTAGCGGTGGATGACGATGACGTTTGGATGAGAGTCTCACTTCTGCACTTCTGTGACCGGCTTTTCGCGCGCGAGTGAGGCGCGAGTCCTCTGTGTTAAAAAATACCGCCGGGTGCAGGCTGCTAGGAAGGTGGAGGCAAAGGAACGTGACCCCTGTCCATCGCAGTTGTAGGAATATATTTATGATAAGAAGATACTATGAGAAGGAAAGGCCGTAGGATAGCGAGCGGCGGACGACTAAACCTCTGTAGCAGAGGTAAAAGGTGGTCCATAAGTGTGAGTGAGCGATTGTGTGACAGCTTCTGGGGTTACCTTTCGTTACTACTCTCCAAAGGTGTTATCGCGGTGGGGCACATTCCCGAGCCGTGAGGGGGGCCCTGAGGAGACCCTCTGAAATAGACAGATAACGCATTCATGTAAATCCCCGGCTCCCGGTAAGCTGCCCTAGACATAAGCTTACAGATGGCATGGATTTGGGTTGAATCCCGCAGTGCGTCGCATGGCATAGGCGGCATGAGGACACACGCTCACGCAACACACCAAGAGGGTCCAAGAACTCCGTCCCGCCTTACTAGGACAAGGCTCCGCCAGATCGCTTTCCACGAGGGGATTGGGGAAATTATGGCGGTCGGCTTGGCGCTGAAAGGTTGATGTTAACGGCCACCTCGTGTGGCATCTGTTTACGACAGTAGTGGCTTGTAATTCAGTTGACCAAACAAAGTCTCCGTACGCAAGGTCATGCAAGCTACGCTGTCAATGCAAGTTTAGCCCGGTTGCTAGCTGCATGTACATCTAAAATTAGTAAACATGCTCCGTCGTGCTGCTAGGACCATCGGTGCGGTATGGACCCCACGCGCCACAGTGGCATGCAGCCTGCCGTCAGCTCCATATTCATCAGTGCCGTCGACCTCATCATCACCTGATGCCGGACCCGCGTTCGAGGAACGCCGTCGAGGGGTGAGTGCCAACCGGCATCTTCTCCGGGAAGTCCTGACGCTTTTTACAAAGTCCTTAGCCAAATAATGATTTTTCCATAGATGGTGAATAAATTATTGTATCGAAGCAAACAGCGAGGGTTCCTCGAGTTGGACCTGCTCATCGGGTTATGGGCCGAGGTAAACATTCCCAAAATGGACTTTGCTGAGCTGAAACAGATGGCGCTAGTGCTTGAAGAGGTAAGAAAGTGATGTTTTGATCTTGCACTGGTATGTCGTTAACCTTGTCATGGCGCCATGGCAGGAGAATCCGGACCTCTTTAAATGGCTTACAGGCCAACTTCAGCCCCCTGATCGTATGTCGGGAAATGCAGTTTTCGAGGTAAGACCGTCCGTGAGTACCCCAGAGGCAGTAGGCGTGTACGACAGAGCCAACACCAGTTGAACGGTCGCCAAGGTACAGTCTACAACGGGCTCACGAAGCCGCCGGAGGTGGCGTTGTCTGTTACACGGGTTAAGGGGATGTTAATATGCTTCAGAGGAAATGCTTATCTAAAAATGCCACGCACCTGTGCCTCTTACAACAGGCGCTCCGTCGCCATGTGGCGCAGCAGCTCAGTGAAACGGCGCCAGCCACAACACGTGCAGCATTGGGGCGTGACTGGGTGCGCGGCTGGGATGACAGCTGGAGGTGGGTGGTGTGATAGCAAGCAGGACCTGTGTGGCAGGGTGTGCCCTAAACGGCTTTGTTATACTGAGGTTAAGCCTGCGTTTTCTGGTCATAGGCTTGTATTTAGTATAGAACTGGATGCAGAATAGGGTGCTGGATTTGACTTGAGTCCGAGACCCGTCCTCGTTTTTCGACAGGGGGACGAACGAATTATCGACAGGGCAACAGCCGAAGCTGCAATAGGTTATGCTGGAAACTACAACTGCCATGGAGCACGAGTCGTCTGATGACAGGGCTTGGCTCGAGTGTCGTATAACCGAGCACCGCACGCATCGCAGGAAGTGTAAATTGACGTCTTTAAGGTTTCTGTATGTGAACGTCGTTGTGTGGATTTATATTGTTACCTTTTAAACCTTCGGAAACGGATGTCTCGAGATGGTCATATCACAACGTTGCGTTTGGAAAAAAAGACAAAGTATATTTGTTGGCTCACTCCAGCGAATTGGAAATCCTTTCGAAACTTTAAACCATGTAAATACCATCTTACGGCTTGAAATATAGCTCATGGCGGATCCACGAGGGCACCGGGAGAGGACAGACGCAGCTGCGACCGGGCGCAACGAAGAAAAGCAGCAGCGTGATGGAAAGGACCCAGCGGAATCGATGCATCACGACGGTAGCTTTGGCCGTTACATGCAGTTAAAGGTGGTGAAGCTTCGTGAGCAGTTCGATGCACAGCAGCTGCAGAACATCGCCACTAAATCCGACATCTTTCGGGGCGTATCTATATATGTCAACGGATTCACGCGACCATCGCATGCGGTGAGGACGGAGGCGTGTGCGTAGCTTAAAGGCGCCACGGCTCTTTGGACCACCACGGGGAAATCCTGCAATGCCCGGAGAGGGGGACGTCCGTAAGCACCGCCTACAGCACTGGCCATGAACAAACCTAAAAGCCCCATCCCCGTTTGGGTCGACGTCATCTCCCAAGCCAAGCCGTGGTCCTAGCAAGCCCTCAATCCTGCGTAAAACGGCCGGCAGGCCTCACATATTATCAAACGTGGCGCGCCGAGCCTTCATTATCCCCAAAACCGTTACCCACCCCCCCCCCGCTCCTCCTCCCCCACATGTGGATTCCCCATCCCCTAGGAGCTGAAGCAGCTCATGGCTCTCCACGGCGGCCGCTTCGAAAACTACCTCAACCGCGACAGCGTGACCCACATCATCTGCAGCAACCTTCCCGACACCAAGATAAAGCAGCTGGCGCACGAAAGGCGAGGAACAGCACCACCAGCACCACCAGCAGCAGTAGATAAGAGAGCCGCGTAGAAGTAGAGAACTAGCAGCAGTAGGCATAGAAGCAGGGGCGGGGAAGGATAGCTTTCGTACCCATAGAGATGAGGCCCTGGGATAGGGATGAGGCTGGGGCGCCCAGGGTCGGCCAACTCCCCACCGTTCACCCACCGTTCAACGTTCCCCCGGTTTGGACCGGGTGCCTCCTGTACTGTACTGTACTGTACTGTACTGTGTATCCTATGGCCCCACATTGGCGCAACCTCCTGCCCTTCTTGTCCCTTCCCTACCGCCTGTACCCTGATTAACCCTGTGCCCGTCTTTCCTGCTTTCCCCGCTGCCACAGAAAGCCCATCCCTATCGTAAGGCCCGAGTGGGTGGTGGCATCGATCAACGCGGGGAGATTGCTTCCGGTACGTTGTGTGTATACGGCACGCACATAGCACGTGCTACCACCCCCGCCCCCCCCATCATCATCTTTCCCCCCACCATCATCTTCACCATCACGATACTGCGCCATCAGATCCGACGCAGACGCTTTCTCGTCGCTCCGCACGTTGGCCCACTCACACCTCCTTCTCACCTCACCTCACCTCACCTCACCTCACCTCACCTCACCTCACCTCACCTCACCTCACCTCACCTCACCTCACCTCACCTCACCTCACCTCACCTCCTTCTCACCTCACCTCACCTCACCTCACCTCACCTCACCTCACCTCACCTCACCTCACCTCACCTCACCTCACCTCACCTCACCTCACCTCACCTCACCTCCACACCGCCACCGCCACCGCCTTGGGGATCCAGCCATACCCTGTAAGCCCCTCCTCTCCCCCCGCGGTGCCCGCTCACCCTCCACCCGCCTCCACAACACTCCCCAAAGGTGCAGTTGTCGCACCGGACGTGTTTCCTGATCGCCTCCTCCGTCGCTGTCCACGGGGCCCCCTTCCCCTCTCCCCGCGCTCTCCTCGGCCCCCCAGATCTCCGACTTCCAGCTGGAGCCCCTGTCCGCCGCCCACCCCAACCAGCGGCGGCTGTTTGACTTCAAGCGCCATGCCGCCCCAAAACTGCCCCCCGAGGAGCTCTACCCCGTGCTTATGGGCCAGGGCCAGGGGCAGGGGCAGGTAGGACAACAGCAGCAGGAGGAGGGGCGGCAGCAGCAGCAAGAGAAGGGATTGGAGCGGCAGGGGCAGCAGCAGAAGCAGCAGCAGCAGCAGGAGGAGGAGGAGGAACTGGAGGGGCGGCGGCCGGAGGAGGTGCATGAAGTTGGCGAGGGCCGCCCCGCCAAGCGACAACGTGTCACCAGAAGTGTGGTCCGTGGCGAGCCGGGACAGGGGCCCGGGGCGGGTCGTGCCCATGAGCTGCGGGTGTGGCAGGTGCAGCACCGGGGGGAGGAGGAAGAGGGGGAGGGGGGACAGCAGCAGCAGCAGCAGCAATGTCCGTCGGCGATGCACCAGCGCGTCCGCGCAACAGCACAAGGGCCCCAGCAGCAGCAGCAGCCCCTACTGCCCCACGGGTTCGTAGACAGCGTCGCACCGGGCGGCACCCGCGCGGCGCTGCTGCACCAGGCTGGAGGCCTGGGAACCGGTCCGGGCCCGCCTTCTTCGCATCCTCGGCGACCCTACCCCGCAGCCGCAGCGGCCGGCACGGGCATGGCTGGAACCAGTAGCGGCATCAGCGTGCCCGTGCCCCTGCCTTTGCCCTGTCCAGCACGTCCCCGTGGCAGCGGCAGCCCTCCCCCTCCCCACACTGCTGTGGAGGGCGCCTCTCGCGGCGGTGGCGGCGGCGGGGTCGCCGTACCACCTGCCAGTGCCAATGAAGCGGCAACGAGGGTGGCAGGGGGCCCGGGCACGAGCACAGCCGCAGCGAATGCAACAGCAGCAGTCCCCGGCGGCGGCGGAGCTGCCAGGGGTTCCGCAAGTCCCAGCGGAGGTTCGGGTTCGAGTCCCGGCGTGCGCAGATCTCGTGGTGGTGGCAGCCCGCAGTCTGGTGATCAGGCTCAGGCTCTGGCGGCGGAGCTGAGGGCGGCTAGCGATGCGGCCAGGGGACCACCCAGGTGGGGGGGTTGAGGGAGCAGGTATGGAGGGGATTCGGAACGGGATATCAGCTCATCTTGGCATCAACAGGACATCTGGCCGCACGAGTGACCCAACCCTACGGAAGTTATCAAGGAGGGGGGACGAGGGGGCGCTGAGCAGCTGCGAGCGCTCTGCGCCAGCTGTGTGATCAACACCTAGCGCGAAGAGGGGTATGGGCTAGGATGAAGACGAGGCGGTCATGGGGCCTGGAGGAAGGGGGGAGGGATAAGGGGACGGAGGACGGAGGAGACAGCACCGATGGGCGGTCTGGTGGGTGCCGTACCGTCATCACCGTCCCGGGAACGACCCCACCCCTACCCCACTCCCATTCCTAATACGGCACAGGTCAACCCGCACCGACCCACGGTTCATGGAGACGTTCTTCAAGTCCTCGCGGCTGCACTTCATCGGCACCTGGAAGACCCGCATCGAGGCGCTCATGGCGGAGGTGGAGGGGACGGCACCCAATCCGGCGCCGTACACCAAGGGTGAGTGACTCTTAGCTACTGGACGGATGGCCGTGTGTGGATGCATGCCTGTGTTGTACAGGCTGCGTGTGTGTATGTATGAACGGTGTTGGCGGGCGCGGTGGTCTCTGTGATGAACACGTACGTACCAGGGGGCATCATCCCAATCTCCATCCCGTGCTACTGCTATTGCGCCTTCTCCTCTTCCTCCTCCTGCTCAATCTCTGCCACCCCCCCGACCCCGACCTCCTCCTTCCTTTGTGTCACCTTAACACACGTTTCCCCGCCCCCTCCCCCTCCCCCTCCAGGCACGGAGCGTGTGGTGATGCACGTGGACATGGACTGCTTCTTCGCGAGTGCGGCTCTGGTGGGGCGGCCCGAGCTGGCGGGCAGGCCGCTGGCTGTGTGCCACTCCAACAGCGCCCGGGGTACCGGGGAGGTGTCGTCAGCCAACTACCTGGTGAGCAGGTGGGGGGGAGGCCTCGCGGTGGGGGCCCCGCCGGGAGGGGGGTGAGACGCCCCAATGGTCCGTGTTCCGCACCGGGACCTGGTCCGCTGCGCACATGCAGGCGCGGGGGTGAGGCGGTGAGGAATGGATGGATGCATGCGCCTACAGGACCGACCGACGTGGCCGCGGTGACCAAGTGCTCCGTCCCGTCGGCCTCACTCCCCCTAACCCGCCACATCCGCCACCACACATCCAGCCCACTCCCCCTACCCCCGCATTCCCCCGCACACCCCCACAGGCCCGCTCGTTCGGTGTCCGTGCCGACATGTTCATCGCCGAGGCACGGCGCCGCTGTCCGGATCTGGTGGTGGTGCCGTACGAGTTTGAAAAGTATCAGGAGATTTCGGAGCAGGTGGGTACATATAGCGCAAAACACCCAGCTCCCGCGTCTCGCTCCCTCCTCGCTCCCCCCTTTGTCAACCCCCACATGCACACACATGCACCGCCCACGTAACTGTTTTGTTGGGCCGTAACGGACTTCGTCGTCTCTTTGTCCATAATGCCAATAACCGCTCTCCAGCGCCCAATTCCCGCCACCCCACGTCACCATGTCGCACACCCTCTGCACTTGCCACATTGTCAACACCACTTCTGCGCAGGTGTACCGCATTCTGATGTCGTACACGTCTATCGTACAGCCTATGTCCTGCGACGAGGCATTTCTGGACGTCACCGGGTTGGTTTCGGAGCCCAGCGGGCCAGAGGAGCTCGCGGCTCGGCTGCGGTACGACATCGCGACCGCGACGCAGTGTACAGCGAGTGCGGGCATAGGGCCCAACATGCTGATCGCCAAGCTGGCGACGAAGCGTGCCAAACCCAACGGACAGTTCCGAGTGACCCGTGGGTCGGTGCTGGAGTTCCTGGGGGACCTCAACGTGGACGAGTTGCCAGGTGGGCCCTTGCGGCCCTGCCACACCGTAAAGCCCTCCCCCGCGCCCTCCCCTCCTCGAAGGTTTCGGTTCCCTAACGCGCCAACCCATCCATTCACCGAGTGCTTGTCTGTCCGTCTGTCTATCTGTCCGCCTTTCTATCCGTCTGTCCATCTCTCCGTTGTTTGCCTGTCTTCTTTAAACCGGAATGGCGGGTATTTGCATCATTTTCCTTGACGACACGGCAAAGGCAGTTGCCTCTCCGGGGTTTTGCATTCCATGGTTATTTCCCCCTACACCTAACCCCCACACCCCCACCTCCACACCCCCACCCCCACACCCCACCTCCACACCCCCACCCCCACACCCCCACCTCCACACACCCCCACCCCCACCCCCCACCCCCACCCCATCAACCCGCCGGTGTCTTCTGCAGGTGTCGGTTGGTCCATCGCCTCCAAGCTCGAAGACCAGCTGGGTATCACCCGTGTACGGCAGGTGTGGTCCGCCTCCCGTACCTTGCTTCAGAAGCGGCTGGGCGCCCGGGTGGGTGCGGACCTGTGGGCTCATGCACACGGGCAAGACGACCGGAGAGTGGAGCCACCCAAGGTATGCGGGTGTATGGGGTTATACGGGTATGGGGTTAGACAGGTATGGGTATACGTCCCAGTATCTCCACCGCGGCTAGGCCCTTTGGAACTTGTTTGTTGTGCTGTGGTGTTGTTTTTGTGTGTTGTTTAGAAATCACGCTGCGGACATGGATTAGCGAGAACAGCATACGAGTAGTTTGTGTGTGAGGAGGGGTGGGCAGGAGGTGGTGGTGCTGTGGCTTATTGTTTTACAGAGTAATGTGACATACTCTGTGTAATGCGTCTGGCGGAGCTTAGGAATACCTGCTCGCTGTGAGCTGTGCTCACGTGGAAGGGGCTGTGATGGGGGTGGGGGTGGGGGTGGTCACGGCGCGCGGAAGCAGGAAAGCGCCGTGCAGCTCTAAGTTAAGGAAATGCCGGAAGGAGAGGGAGGGATAGGGGCAGAAAGGGAGGGAAAAGGGGCAGGGGAAGTCCTGCTATAGGAGAAGCCAAAGCAAGATGCCGGATGCCGTCACATCCCCTGCACGTACCACACACTCGTTGTGGACTCTCACCTCCCGCTTCCCCCACTTCCCCACTTGCACCTCACTCGCATCCCACTACTCCATTACCTCTCTTCTCCCCTCACCCACCCACCCCCTGGAACATCAACCCCCCCCAAAGGCGCGCAAGTCGGTGGGTGCGGAGGTGAACTACGGCATCCGCTTCGAGTGCGAGTCCGAGGGTGGTCGGGGGGAGGTGGAGCGCTTCCTGGGGGACCTGGCGGGGGAGGTGGCGGCGAGACTTAGGTCGGCAGGTGGGGCCGTGGGGGTGGGGCTGGGGGGGTTACCTGCTCCCTGCATACACACACACACTCTCTCTCTCGCCTTGGGTGTTCTCTTTCTGCGTCCAAAAAATTACCATCACCATCATCATCATCACCATCACCATCGTCGTCATCAGAAAACACAGGTTTTCCCCACGCCAGCTCTGAACTCCTTCATCGCTCACCTCACCCCCACCTCACCCCGCCTTTTGTTATTGGATACTGGTTAACTCCCTCCTTTCCCCAACACCCCCCCCCACACACACACGCACACACATGCCAGGCGTCCGTGGCAGGTGTCTGGTGCTCAAGGTGAAGCGGCGCCAGGCGGGCGCTCCGGAACCCGCCAAGTTCATGGGGCACGGAGCCTGTGACAACATCTCCCGGTGCGCAAGTTAACGGCTCACCGGGGGGTGTTGCCCCAGGAGGTCCCGGGGGTGGGGAGTGGGAGGGAGGGGAAGTACCGCACCCACCACAACAACCTCGACGTGGTAACAAAGAGTGGTGGAACTTCCCCCCGCCCTCCCTCTCCCCTTCCAATACACCTTCCCTGTAGGGCCCTATGCTGCGCCTTCCTCTCCCCCGTCGATCCCTTCATGTAATCATCTTCGTCTGTTCTCCCTCCCTCCCTTCCCCCCCTCCTTCCCTGCCCCCTCCCCCCACCCGCGCACCCCTGCCCGCAGCTCGGTGACCATGAGTCGCTTCACGGCAGAGGCGGGGGACCTGCGCGCGGCGGCTGTGGGGCTCCTGCGGGCCCTGGCCATACCCCCGGAGGAGCTGCGGGGCCTGGGGATCACGGTGTGCAAACTGGACAACGACCCGGCCAGTGCCACCACCAGAGCCTCCGCACCGGCTGCAGCCAAATTGCAGGTTGGGGGGACGGGGTTAACAGATTGGCGTATGAGGTGGGCGGAGAGGAGTGGGGGGATGGAATGGGGGAGTGATGAATGGACGAGTGGGGGTGTGCGGGACAGGGAGCAGGGAGGGAGGGTGGGACGGGAAGGGACGGGAAGAGAAGGGAAGGGAAGGGAAGGGGAGTACAAGTAAACCCCAACGAAGGGCCCCTCCGCCCTTAGGGATAACCCCTCCTTCGATTTCAACACCTCACCACATTCCGTCCGTCCTTCCCCCTCACCCCCCCTTTATCATTTATTGCCCTTCATCCACAGGCCCCGCCGCGCACAGCCTTCGACGCCTCCAAGCCTCCTCCCTGGGCCGTCTACTTCAAGCGCAAGGCCCAACAACAACCGCAACAGCAGCAGCAGGAAGCGGAGGCGGAGCCGCCCTCTGCAGCAATGGCCGCCGCTTCAACAGAACAAGGCCAAACCCCGAGCACGGCGCTCCTAACGTCCCCCAGCGACTCCCTCACAGCCGCCACCGCTACAGCCGCCCCCTCGACCCCCGCCAAGTTCCACCCTACCGGGGGCGCAAGGCAGGGGGGTTCAGCGGCCGCCGCTACTGCCGTGGTGAGTCCTGGAGCCCTCCTAAGCGCGGGGGCAGTAGCAGCAGCAGCAGCAGCACCTGGACCCGGGGAACGTGGGGGGAATGGCGCACCAGCTGCCAGGCCGGGAGCAGGAGCCGGATCTGGGCGGGGGCATTTAGCGGCGCCGGCCGGCCAGTCACCGGCAGCAGCTGGAATATGCGCCGCAGGAGCAGCAGCAGTCGCAGCAGGAGGGGTGGAGGACGTGCCCAGTTGGTACGCGGCTTTGTACAACGAGTGGTCGCCTGTTTCGGTGTGGGATCAGCAGCGCAAACAACAGCAACTGGCGGCGCCGGCGCATCAACAGCTACACCAGCTACAGCAGGGGGTAGGGCAGCGCGCTTCGCCAGCCGGGATGCCGCCGGCTGAGTGGGCTGATGGAGCAGCTTTCCGTTCCACGTCTTTCGCTGCCGGAGCCGGTACTACTGCCCCAGCCGCTGCGCCAGCAGCAGTAGCAGCGGCAGGAGCAACGGCGCCGCCCTCGGAGGTTGGCTGTGTGGCTGCCATAGGTACAGGAGGACAGGCAGTAGCGGCACAGCCCGGACCGCAGCAGCAGCACTTGCCGGCAAGGATTGATGCGGCATCGGAGGTGTCCGCGCACTCGGCAGCGGGAGGGAGGGAAGGAGCGCCGGCGGCCGATGCAGGGGCTCGGAGCCGACCCCGACCTCGGCCTCGACTGCACCCAGTCTTCGCCGCGCTTCTCTCGCAACCGGGGGCGGTCGCAGGCCGCAGCTGCGGCGGCGACGGCGGCCAGGGAAGCAAGCCTGGAGGGGGAAGAGAGGTGACGGCGGCGGCTTCGCCACCGGCGCCATCTGTCACAGCGGCGGATGCGGGAGCTGCAGCCCCCGTCGACGCACTGGTTCAGACAGCTGCTACAGTGCAGGTAGGTGGCGGCCCTTCAAGCAAGGGAAGCCTGTTCGGAGGTGGCGGAGATATAGCCCACCAAGATCCTGCTGGCCACCTCGCAAGGCCACCGCAGCCGCCCGAGCAACAACAACAGCAACAGCTGGTGGGGGTCACGACAGCGGCGGCCGCTGCCAGGGGGTCGACAGCGGCGGCCGCGGGTGGCCACAACGTCCTCGATTGCCCGCTTCCACAGCCATCTAGGCCTGCTGCATCCGGCACCCACGGAGCCATGGGAGCAGCCGGCCCGCCGCGGGTGCCGAGGGTGCCAGCGGCGCCGCCAGTGCCGGCCGTGTCCACGGCCTCCGCTGGCGCCGGCCCGTCAGCCGCCAGCGGCGGCGACGCCGTAACGCGTGTGATGGAGTCTATTGACCTCTCCATCGACCTAGTGGATGATGATGACAGCGAAGATGATAGTCATGGCGGAGG